CACTGTTTAATTGTGAGAATAACCAAAGATAACAATCAAATAAATTTCACGCAATTAGTTTTATATCGATATTTTTGAAAGAATTGTAGAAAACTCTTCTCCAAAACAAACGCTATTTGATAGAGAAAAGCTTGATCTATCATTAACTGCAAGATAGTGCTTGTAGGTTTTATAACTTTTGAGATATCGATGTCCAAAGTTTTAAGGCCAATGGCCGATATCAAGAGAACCGTTGATGGATCTAAAAAAGTTTTCAATCCCAAGTGTGACCCAATAACTTACATCTTCTAGAAATGAGTTTTAACTTCTTAACTCTTATGGTCAGAGTGCTAGCCGGCTTTAACCGAAAATCGAAGTGATCTGGTTTCTAAGAACCCGAGAATTTTATTTCACGAAATGAATGCATTTTCTGGTTGATTATTAAAATTGACATTAGAGAAATGATTTTGATGAAATAATATGGTTCAATAGCTGTACAAAAGGCTATCGAAGTTTCAGCTTCGACCTGGATTTTCTCGAAAACTGTCCATCGGAAACATTTTTTAATAGCTTCAATAGATTGCAGGCTTCTATGTCTCTCTAAATTCACAAACTTCCAGCCCTAAACTCGAAAGACAAATCTTTTGTACGCACTTGTTTGAGCGAAAAGGCTTCTCAAGTTTAAAAAGCACAACAATCATATAAATTACACTTTATTACGTTTGTGTTGATAGTTTTTGAAGAAGCTAGGAGACTTCATTCGTAAATTAACCGCTAAATACTCCAGAACAAGCTTGATCATTCGCTCACTCATGATCTATCGTTGCAAACTACGAATTTCTTGTTAGTTAGTCACAAGAACAGCAAAAGAAATTACTTTGAGAAGAAATTACTCTCAACTACTGTTCGGCTTGATTTTAAGCTCCAAGTCGACAATTAGAAATGATTTTTAAACGGTTTTTAAATTATCTGTTGATTCCCAAAAGTTACCGGACTCCAGACCCAAATAGACTACTAGAGTATGACCTGGAAAATGACTTGACCCATCTTCACTTGATCAGTTTTCATCTTCCCTCCATCGAACCTGTTAAATCTCGAACAATAATCAACCTAATATTTGATATCTTCTGTTGGATCAATGCAATTAAAGTGGCCTGGTTTTACTGGTTAGATATACCAACAGCCATACGATTTGGTGATCTGTCTCTATTTTATGGTGAATCCAGATACACACAGTATAAACCAAACATTAGTTTAGGTCAAAGCATACTTTTGTAAGCTCAATGGTTCTTTTTCATTGTAATGCTAAGATGATATTGAAAAATTTGGACTTTCAAAAGATGAGTGGAACTTTATTGTGCTTTTTAGGCCACGAAAGTTTATTAGTATTCATCTACGTAAACTAAAATATGCTATTATAACTTCGAATCTTCAACATTTACATTAAAAATGATCCTTTTCAGGAAAATGATTTGAGCTTAAGGCAAAACATTAGTAGCAATCAAAGCGTGTCCTTTCGGTTTTTGGGACTTACCGACAAGAAATTCACAGTTTCCAACAGGATATCAGGACAGATCAAACTTTTCTCGAGTGATTAGCAATTACTTTACGAATAAAATCGTCTAGCTTCTTCAAAAACTAGCAAACAAACCTAATAAAGTGTAATTTTATTGATTGTTGTGCTTTTTAAAGTTAAGAAGCCTTTTCGTTCAAAGAAATGTGTACAGAAGATCTAGCTTTCGAGTTAAGAGTTGAAAATTTGTGGGTTTGTAGAACCATAAAAGGCTGCAATCTATTGAAGGCATTAAAAAATGTTTTCGATGGACACTTTTCGAGAAAATCCAGGTCGAAGCTGAAACTTCTATAGCCTTTTGTACAGCTATTTGACCAGATTTTTTCATCAAAATCATTTCTCCAATGTCAATTTTAATAATCAACCAGAAAATACATTTATTTAGAGAAATAAATCTTCCGTTTCTTGTAAAACAGATCACTTCGATTTTCGGTTAAATGTGGCTATTTCTGTGGCCTTTAGAGCTAGAAGGCTGAAAATCCTTTTTAGTCGATAAAATTTATGTACACGTATCTAGTATTGAAAACTTTTTGAATCCATCAACGGTTCTCTCGATATTGGCCATTGGCCTTAAAACTTTGGACATCGATATCTCAAAAGTTATTAAACCTACAAGCATTATCTTACAGTTAATGATAGGTCAAGCTCTTCTCCATCAAGTAACATTGCTTTCAAAAAAACATTGATTCGATTCTTCCTGAAATATTGCTAACAAAACTAATAACGTGAATTTTATTTGATTGCTATCTTTGGTTATTCTCATAATTAAACAGTGTTTCGTTCAAAAGAATGAGAAATAAATATCTGACTTTCGAGTCGAAGTTTTGTAGAAGCATAAAAACTGAATCAATGTGTGCTACAAAAAAGTTTATCCGATCAATAGTCTTCGAGAAAATCCAGGTCAAAGCTGAAACTTCGATAGCTTTGTGTACATTTATTGAACAAGATTTTCTAATCAAATTCAGTTTACTGATGTAATTTTTTATGATCAACCAGAAAATGCACTTATATAAGAAATAATATTTTCTGTTCCTTGTACAATAGATCACTTCGATTTTCGGTTAAACCTTCTTTTTTCTGTGATCGAAAGAGTTAGAGATCTGAAACTTATTTTCAGTCGATAAAAACTGTTAGCGTACATCAGCAAACGTACACTTTTAGCAAATCATTGACGGTTCTCTTTATATTGGCCATTGGCCTTAAAACTTTGAGCATCCATATCTTGAAAATGATAGCACCTACGGGCACTGTTTTTTCAACGATCATTAGATTTTACTATGGACTTTAGCATAACATGACTGAATACCGAGGAAGTCTGAGGTAGTTCGTTTAAAAATGATTGTTTTTGAGTGTTGTTCAAATTGTTTTACTCAAGCTTTAAAATCTTGCAACAATTGGCTACTGAAAAAGTTTTTTGAATTAAATTGTTCATTTTCTGAAAAATCGCTCTACTCTAAAAAGATCAGTACGAATACAATCAAAATTTTCATTCACAATCAACAAATCAGTAATTAAGACTTATTTTTTCAGGAACTTGTTTTTATTATTTACAAAATATCTCAATGTCGAGATTTTAATTTATTTGGTTAACCATTTGTATTAATATCGGAAAACCTTGATTGATTCATTGTAATTTAGAGTTTTTCACTCTTAAATAGATGATTGTTCCGTAATAGCTGATCATTAAGAAAAGTAAAATTGATGTGATTGTAAAAATCATGATTAATGAACGTCGAGTTTCATCTTTTCTAGTTGAACGGTTAACATTTCCAGTTGATCGATAATTTGGTTTGTAGGAATGAAGGATTGGATGAAGAGAACCCAAAACAATTGAATAAGGACAATCGGTGTCATTTTTAGTTGATAATGAATTAGTTCTGGACGATGAGAATGAATATGGTCTTGAACGATTACAAACATGGCAACCTTTAAATTGAAGGCCTTTAACATTTGAAGTTGAAGTTGATTTCCAACTGATTGGTGATACTTTTCTCGATTGGGATGTTGCTGAGTTGGTACATCTTTCATATTTACCATTGCTTGACGAGTCACCCTCAACTGGTGTTGATCCGCGAGAACTGCTATCAACATGTTGCCGGTACTTTCGACCCCGAAGAGTTTTAATGTCGGTTAAATATTTCCAAGTATATTTGTTTTGACGACCAACAATTGGTTTCGATTCCTTGCCACAACATTGACAAGTTGAAACAGAAACTGTTTTACCAGATTCAACTCCATCCGTCACTTGGGTTGAAACTTGGGTTGGATTAACCACTGTGTTTGTTGCTCGTATGGGTTGCTCATAACCATCATCTAGGACCATTGTTGGACTAATCGTTCTATCGACATGATCAATACCATTACCAATTGAATAATTCACAATTGTCTCTTCACGAGGAGGGCCCAGAAGCACATTTTGGATACCTTTCGATTGCTTTGAATACAATAACTTTGGGTTGGATATTTGGTTTGGTTTCTCGGCAAAATGGAAATACTTTTTACTCTTTCCTGAGTTTCCACTCAAATCGGTCAAATTGTTGTCGTTCAAATCTTTCAAATAATCTTTTTTTGTATCAATCATGATGGAGTTCAAACTGTGGGTTCAAGCAAAAAGTAAGGCAAGGATAAAATCAAGATGGGAAACAAAACACAAAATAAGATGAGCACAAATAACAACGCACTAAATGACCAGAGTAACACAGAGTTTCTAGTGAAGACTGTTACCAGAAGGGAATAATAAATAACAATTTGAAAGTGAATTTCCAGTCAGCAACCGTAATCAGTCTTTCTACCTTTCTCTCCATTTAGTTATTCACTCTTTTTCCTTATTCTGATTGAACAAAAAACAAAACGCAAAAACCTTGTTCGCCTTGTAGACTGAACTTGTTTGTTATCATGATAGTTGTTCGATTATTAAGAATAATCTTGATCACTTGTTAACAATCAGCCCAATGTACTGTTAAACAGTACTTGTTAAGTAGCTACTGTTAGCATTTACATACGTTAAATACCTATCACGACCACTACATTGAAGGACACGAGTTTAACATGAAACCCCATTAATCCTGAATTATGGTTCAGTCATGAAATACACAACAGTAAATATCCAAACATAATTAGAAACAGTTTAATCCATGGCGATAATTAATAGAAATACTTTCTTGTTTACTTGAAATGAACATGACTTTTTCAAAACATAACAAACAATCAAGATAAGCTTATTTTTAGGGAATGATATTTCTGATTTTGAATAAAGCTCCTCTTATTGAACAGAGGACATTAATCACATAACTGAAATAAGATGTTAAATTATCATAGATTTTAAAATTTAAGATTTATTATTTTTATGAATATTTAATGATTTAATTTGGATGAAAACGGCTTTTCAAATTGGCGCTTCTAATTAGTGTTGCCAATGGATTTTTGTTTTTGCTTTAACGCCTCTTTATTACCGTTAGTTATCTCACTTTTTTCTATTTCATTTACTCTAGTCTTGTTGAATTATTCAAAATTATTATTGACAATCAAGTTGATTTTTTTGTTGATTTAAGTAACCATTTTAGATTGACTTTGACGCTGCTCTTTCATCTTAATCATGGCGGCAACTGGTGATGGCAATGACGCTACTCCTGTAAATGCAAGTGTATCTCCTGACGAAAGTGAAACTCGCAACTCTCAATCTAATTTAACTGATGGACCAAATAATGTGCAAATTAAAGACAAAAGTGATAACAATAATAATGTTCAACAGCCCCTTTTAACAAAAGATGAAGTTGTTAATGCTAACAGTCCATTAAAAATTGTGGTCGTCGGTGATGGAACTGTTGGTAAGACTTGTATGTGCATAGCTTATACACAAGGAGTGTTTCTGGACAGTGAATATGTTCCTACAGTGTAAGGATTTAATTTTGTTTTTATTCCACCCAATCCTGTCTGTGACTGTTAGTTGAAACAAAAGATGGATCAGAAAAAAAGACTGAATGAATTGAGGTGTTTCAATGTACCCAGACTTTGTATTTACAAGTTTTACTTCAACAGCTTGTAGCAATTTGACCAAAATATGTAACCATATGTAAAAAGAAACTATTGGAACTTTTGCCAAATAGTCAAACTTATCAGGCGTGAATGATAGTGATGATTGGAAAGAGCATTTTCAATCACAATGAGAGTGAACAACCTTGAAAATCGTCATTTATAAATTGCTTCCGGAAAAAGTTGCCTCGACAACGATTCATTTACATTGATTATTATACTAGCGAAAAAAGGTTACTTCAAGTGTGAGGGTTTGGGTGTACAATGGCTATGTTCTTGTTATTAATAATGATTTTTTTTTCTATTTTTGTTTCTTTCATATTTGGGTGTTACAATTGGAACCGTAATACTACTCATCGCCAATGGATAGATTTGAAAATTACACTGGAACACAAGACTACCGAGGATCAAATTATCAACTGGCTCTTTGGGATACTGCTGGTCAAGAAGATTATGAAAGGCTGAGACCGCTCTCTTATCCTGGGGTAATAGTATTTGGTATATGATATTCATTTCCAGTGGCTATTTAATCACGTTGTTAGGAGTTATGTTCACGAATGTTGATGAATTGCGCAGTCAATTTGAAATAACTTGTCAAGCTCTAACTGTCAACTCATTCTATTCACCTTTATTAACATCATTCTTCCACAGTATCAACAGGTTACTGTTTTGACAATCAATTTATCTTTTATCTCCTCTACATAAGTGTAAACTGGTTGTTTAGTTAGTGCCGTTCCTGCCCATAGATAATTTCATCCGCTTCATCATTCATCGATCCAGTTATCTAATTTTTAATAATGATATTCAAACGATATTTACTTCTTTTGGTAGCAGTAGTTGTGATAGCTGAGAAATTCGTAAATTGATTATTCCCAATCAAAGAGTAAAGAAGAAGAGACTGCGACAAATCTGTATTTTATTCATCGCAGTCTCTTCTTCTTTACTCTTTGTTCCCAATTATATTGTTAGTTGATTATATTTATTCTTTTGGTAATTGTCAACCTTTTTTCTCTCCTTCACTTTCACATGTCCATTATAATTTAACCAACTTCAAATACTTTGATCAAATCCTAGGTGAAATGATGAGTAATTGAATTATTTATCAACCGTTAACATTTAGCTTTAAACAAACAATTGTCTGTATATTTCAAATTGTTCAGTCAATCTGTTTTAGACGATACTAATGAATTTGTCCAACTGTTGATCATTTAAATCGCAATTAGTTGATAATAGAAGCTTCCATTTGTTCTTTCAGTCTCGCAGTCTACCTAATATGTACAAATGGTATGTTGAAAATGAATTCAGTATAATTGGCTCAATCAATAATGATTCAATCTGTTAGCGTACTTTATCAACATATTTTGTTTATCGACATTTTTTTGTCTCCAGTTTCTGAACATAGTTTCTATATTTAGTATTTAGAAGATTTAATATTTCAAAGATGAAGTTCATGTTTCAATCCAAAAAATTATTTTTTTTCTCCTTCCTTTTGAACTTGCACAAATCAATTCAACATTTAGACAAATGTCAAGGCTTACATGATTTTATTAGCAGGTCAATGAATTTTTCTCACCAATCATTTCCCAATATTTCTTCAACTTAATGGTCTGGCCAAATCTCACAGCTCTGAAAACACAGTCATTTAGTTTTATATTAATAATTACTTCTTGACTAATTTGAAATTTAAGTTTGAAAAGATTCGACTAAAGGTTATAACTTTCCATGTTTCTTCAAGATGAAATCAGAATTGCTGATTTATATTCCATTCACTTTCATTTTTATTTCATCTTTTCTGATTAAGATTTCTCTAATTTTATTACTCCTTCTCTATTTGCAGACTAATGTGTTTTTGCTGTGTTTCAGCATTGCCAATCTAAATTCATACCAAAACATTATTTCTAAATGGTATCCTGAAATTAAGGAACATGCACCCAGAGTTCCTTTTATTCTGGTTGGAACAAAAAGTGATCTCAGACCAGCAAATCAAGCTACAACCCCGTGGTACCGTTCAAAGTGTATCGATTCTTTAACCTCTCAAAGAAATGGATCTGAGGAAACATTCATAACCACCACTATGGGTCGTAAATTGGCTAAAAAATTGAATGCCTCTAGCTACGTTGAATGTTCAGCTAAAAGTTTATCCGGAATCAAGGATGTAAGACATCTCTTCAATCATGAAGTCAAATGTTGAAATTTAATGTCATTCAAAAAGTTTCCACTTTTTTATACATTCATCTCGAAGCAAATTTCACAAATTAACACTTAAATTTTGTATGCTCTCCATGTATTCCTGGTCTGACAGGCTTGGTTCATCACTTACAGTTTATAGCTTTCAGTCAGCAGCAATGGAAAAAATAATTTATTTTTGTTGTGTCAGAATTGTTTCAAGCTTGACACAATTTAATAGGCTCATTGTAAGATACCTTTGAGCTTTATTTTAAAAAAATCACTCAAAGATGTCTTCTCAACCTACTTGCTTGTGGTTTAACTTGACATCTTATTATAACAGTAAAAGACATCATTATAATGAATATTCACAATTCCTATTAGTCTGTTTTAAAATAGATTTTGTTTCAAGTAAACTCAAAAACTATCAAATTACAGTCAGTCAATCAAAGTGAAATCAAAACCAACCAGAATCAAACAACCAATATTTATTCTGATAAACCTTTGTAAATTAATTGTGAAACTGAAAATCTAATCTTTCAATCTTTTCTCTTTGAACACAGGTAATTTTGGAAGCCATAAAAGCCGGAATTGGGGATGTAGATAAGAAAAGTCGTTGTTTAATCATTTAAATAATATTACATGTTACATGACATAAATGGTGAAATGCAAAAGTTGTTAAGCATTATACCTTTCCTTAAACCAAATCAAATGACTGTCTTTTGGATTCCTTTATCAACTTGATCGTACAATGTCAAAGTATTACACATTCAAACGCCTTCGATTTTGTTTCCAATTTTATATTCATAACAACAATTCACCTTTGATCATTCCTACTATTTAAAATTGTACTGAATTAATTTACATATACACATGTATAGACAGCTATTTGTGAGGCTGTCTCTACCTGACTGGCTCAAGTTTACTCATATATTCCTATTACCGAGCAGTTAACTGACGCTTTTGTACAATTTAAACCCTTTTTCATACATTTCTGTGAACATTTCAAGCCATTCACTTCAAATGTAAGCTTTCATCAAATTTTCCTTGAACCATTTCTGTGATTTTTCAGCATTCCAACTAAATAGACTTGTTACAACCAATGCTCCTGAATTTTCTCTTATTTATATTGTTGGCCATTTTCAACCAATTCAGCTCAAATTGAAGATACATAACAAAATTAAATGTTCATATTTTACGTAATTGAATTGTGAATCAAACAAAAAGAGAAAGTAAAATGGAATTTGCTTGAACAAAATTTGTTTTTTAAATTTTTTCGCGAATTAAAACTCAATAATAATCCGAAACTGACTGAAACTCACCAATAATGAAATGAAAAATGAATAGTCGAGTGGAAAGTAATTCAAGTTCAATGTGAAGCAAAGCTTCAACACCTTCAGAATAAATTCAATAGTATTTCTAGCTCAAAGACTATATTTTAAACCTGTTTCATTCATATTTTTGACAAGAATTTGAATTGTAGATTTTATGCTTTTATTTGAAGATCTAACAAGTTTTCAACTAATATTGTAGCATTTGGGGATTGAATAAATAACGAATTGTATTGTTAATTTAACGACTTATTCTATTTATCATTTACAGATTAAATTTGTGCAAAAACACACAAAATTACCCTTTTAAAAATGCTTTGTTCAGAAATGTAACGGCAAACTAATGGTAATCTCTTAAATTCATAGTTAATCTAAAGGAATTCTTGATCTATTTGGTTTAATTCCAGTTCTTGAATTATCTATGGAGTTAACGGCATGAATAAAATCGTCCATTGTCATTGATCTAAGTTCAGGAGCTCGAGAACCGGATGTTCTAGCACGAGAGAGAATTTGTTTTGCACTAAATGACAGGGAACTTTGAATATTAAATGATTGTTGTTCATCTGTTGAATTAGATGTGGTTTCTTTTGACATGCTGAACAAACTTTCATTCAGTTCTTTGAGACTCTTCATAGCTGCTCGACGACATAAGTCTTTCAGGTCACTTCCAGAATAACCAGGAGTAAGACTTGCTATTTCATCAAGATCTACATCGGCTTCAAGATGTTCATTTTTCAGAATAAGTTCAAGAATTTGTTTACGCTCAGTTTCCTTAGGTAAATCAATCTGGAACATGCAAGGCATTCTTCGTAAAACAGCTTTGTCAACATCTTGAGGACGGTTCGTTGCACCAATCAAAACGATCTAAAAATGAAATGTAACAATGAGTTGGGATTAAATTTCTGAAATTTGATGCAAGCTCTGAACAGCTTTCAATATTATCAAATTCACTCAAAGAAAATTACTTGAGACTTTTTTGATGATAAGATTCCTTCCCAAAGAGTCATGAATTGTGCTTTCATCATAGCTGTGGCTTCATGGTCATGAGAATCTCTTGATCGAAGAAATGAGTCAATTTCATCAATAAAGATGATACAAGGTTGAATTTTCAAAGCTAGAGTGAAAACAGCTTGAGCCAGTTTTTGTGATTCTCCATACCATTTATCAGTTAATGCAGAGACACTTAAATTCATAAATCTATCAACGGAACAAAACAAAAATGTTAAAATCTAGAAAGTTTATGAAAATTCAAATTGAATAATTTGAGCTGGAAACATACATTTTCAGCTGATTTGGCAAGGGTCACAAAAAACTTTTACCTGACATTAGCCTCTTTAGCAATAGCTTTGGCCAACATTGTTTTACCACAACCAGGAGGACCATGAAATAAAACACCTCTTGGAGGTTGCCGTAAATTAGATTCGAAATATTCAGGAAAAGTTAACGGGAGAATAACTTGTAAATTCAATTCTTCAATGATATTGTCAAGACCAGCAATATCGCTAAATGTAACGTCAATATCTTTAGGATTTAATAAATCGCTAGCAATTATGTACTCATATTCATTTAAATCGTCACCTTTTGAAGCAATCCCAAGATTTCTTAGTATTTCCATAGCCTGTGTCAAAGAAACAAATGTTGAAATGAGAAACGTGTATAGTTTGAAAGAAAATAATTGAACACGTGTTTAACTAAATTATTTACCTTAGTTTTGGCTTTTTTCTTTTGGGATGTTGTTGGGTCCATAATATTCACAACTAATTTGATTCCAGCATAAGTCATTGCACCTACAACAGCGGCTCTAATCAATAGAGCAATCAATTCTGGCCTTAGAGATGGATTGGGATCCATATTGAAAAGATAACGTGAAAAATTGATAGATCGGTCAAAAAAATAAGAAATAAACCAACAAAAAGCAAGCAAAAAAAATAGATGATTAAAAAATCTCAATCACATTATTCAACATGAAAAGCTGTAAAACATCTGATTGAACAAATGAATGAAAAAAAAGGGATTGTATGTTAATGAAAACAAACAGTGGATAGGGTAAAATTAAATCCAAAGATAAATGGTTTATGATTACTCAAGGATCTGGTTAGATAGTTAAACAACTAAGTAACCTAGGTAAAAGTTGATTAGAGAGACAATACAATGAGATAAAAAATGATTAATGATTACATTGATTAATATAAAAACTCATTTAAAGCAGAAGAAAAAAATGTTATGGTAAAAAATTTCAGAACGCTTTTCGTGTTACTTTTGTTGCTTGAAAGATGTCACCTGTATCAATATTTTCTCTCTATCTGATTGGCTGAAAAAGTGTATAATGTAATTCTATTGGTTATTGTGTTGAGAAACAAATTAGTTTGCGATGTTTTACGTGGTTTCTGTGCTATCGAGAGTTAGCTAATGTTGAGCTCTCTCTTTTATATTTTTATTTTTTTGCGTTCTTTTTCATAATTAACTTCGCTAATTCAGATAAATTATGGCCAATCCACGGAAATTTAGTGAAAAAATTGCTATCCAGAAGCAAAAGCAAGCTGAGGAGAAGGCTGCTTTTGATCAAATCATGAATGATGTCTTAGCAGCTACTCGGGTAAGTTGTAATATGTGTATACATTTTATACTTGTATAAAAAAATATATATATGTATATATATATTTTGATGACAGCCTTTTTCCTTGTTCCTTTGATTTTCTCGGTTGTAAACATCTCTTTCTCTTTCTCTCTTTTTGTATAAATTTATATATAATATATATCTATGAGTGTATGTGTATATATATGCGTGTTAGAAATTGAAGAAAATAATGGTGATGATGATCAGAGATGAAGAAAGAGGGGAGGTAGTTGAGTGAAAAATAGTGTTTTATTATGAACGAAGGAGATTTGTTTAGTTTGCGAGAGAGAAGAGAAGAGAAAATGATAGAGGGAAAGATAAAATGATCTTAAATGATTCTGTTACTTGTCATATTGGCCAATCAAGTGGTACACATCTAATTGTTGTCATTAATAATTTATTCTAATATAGTCTAATATTTTTCCATTGCCAGTATTTTCTCAGCCTTTTTATTCTCTCTCTTTCTCTCTATCTCTCGTTCTTTTCTTTCTCTCCTGCTTACTCACTCACTCAGTTTGTCTCTTTGATCTCTGCTGTTTACAATTGAAGCCTGTTCCAAAAATAAAGTTGTTTTGTTTAGGCCTTCTCCCCCCTTTTTTCTTGAAGAAGATATTCTGGACGAATCTTTGATTCATTTCAATTTGGGAAAACTCTCTCACTTGTTGCTCGTTATTCTGTTTTCTCCACTTTTCAAGTCAATGTTAGTATTGATAGCAACTTGTTAAAGGTAGAAATAAAAATACTGTTTAACATAAGCATGAATTAATGAACTATCTAAATTGATGTGTTTTTGCTGTTGAAAGATGACCTTTGCCTTGAAGGCTTTTTGCTCTATTGGGATTATTTAACATCCGTATTATGACCCGAATAGACCTAATTTTATCAATCTTTGCCCTGCTCTTCTATCAATAAACTTTCCTATCCACATTCGATTTCTCTCGACACACATGAATAATCCAGCTTTCAAACCTGATTACACAAATAATTGCATAGAAAGTTGATGAAAGATGCTGAGAAAGAAAAAAGAAGAAAAACAAGAAAAACAAGAAAATTTTATCCTGAGAAAGTTTCGTTCGTTCGCTCGCATGTGATTTTTTTTTGTTTGATTTGCTCATAGCCCGATGTAAAAGTAATTTTTTTTTATTTTCTCAGACCAACCAATTTACCTATTTTCCCCTATCATTACAACATTAGAGTTTTTTTATCAATTGCTAATTGTTTCTATTTATTTCTTTTTCGCTTTTTTCTCCTTCCCCAAAATTGGATTTGCCCCACAGCGGAACAATCATACAACCATTAACAAAAATCAACATTTGCATATCAACCCCAGTGTTGGTAATTACCGCGCAGAATCTTTGCCTGACGTTAATCGCATTGGTGCTTCTCCAGAGAGAAACACAATTGACTTAAAAGGCTGTTTAAATGATCTCGGTGACATGAGGAATGGTCGTTATCCTGCTCGACGCCATCCATCACCTAATGCATCTCCACGAAGTCCACATCACCATCATATCAGTGGGGGTCATCATAGATCGTCATATAATGAACAGCGTCGAGGTGGTTCCTCTCCTTATTCACCTGTTTATCTCAGTCCTCCAATGGATACAAATTGGCGGCGAACTAACTCAGATTCAGCTCTCCATCAGACGGGACTGATGGCTGAACAAATGGGTGCTTGTAGTCCTTTACATCAACCTGGTTCTCCTCTATCCCCGTCAGGACCTAACAGTGGTGCTAGCTCACCTCGCCGTAGTACAGTTCATACAGTTGATACAACAACTAAGACTTTTACCGCCAACAGTACACTTTTACCGCCAAATAGCACGATTAACAATTCTGCCAATCCCAATGATATTCTAGATCCGTATCCAATGGTGTTTGCCTCTCAAAATTGGGATCCTGGAAAAACAAAGATGTTAACCAATCAGCTCAATCATGATAGCCTTTTATCGGCCTCATTGTGCAATGAATCTCGGCCTAAATCATGTGAAGTACCTGGTATAACGATACAACCCACACCAGAGGATTCATCGTCATCATCATCATGTTCTAGTAACAATAACAATATCATCAATGAAAACAGTGTCCAGCACCCATCATCTTCACTTTCAAATACTGGATCGTTACCTGATTTGACAACGCTACACTTTCCAGCACCACTTCCAACTCCTATTGATCTTGACGAGCAAACTTTAAATCCGGTTACCAGTTTAATGAGGAATACTATTATAACCGAATCAGTTTATCCAAATAACAATAATAGTATCGAGAGCAACCCTAGTCCAGGATCTCCATTTACCTGTATCACCTCAAATTCATTCAGCACCAATACAACCAACTCTAATAACAGTAGTAAACAAAATCAAAGCTACTCACCTTCACCTTCCTCACCTTATGGGCAACAGCAAAACATTTTTACCCAAGACAACTTGTCTTCTTCGCACATTATTGCTAATAACAATTCTGAGAATTCAATTGTATTGAATAGTAATCCTAATCATGCTACCAATACAACTACCATTATCAATAATAACAATAGTAAACAAAATCAAAGCTACTCATCTTCACCTTCCTCACCTTATGGGCAACAGCAAAACATTTTTACTCAAGACACCTTGTCTTCTTCGCACATAATTACTAATAACAATTCGGATAATTCAATTGTATTAAATAGTAATCCCAATCAAACTAACAATAACAACTCCGAGACTGCAAACATAATCAACTCTCAAAATCCGACTTTCCATCATTATTCAACCAATGAAGTAACCGTTAGTCATCAAAATCCTTTCAATATAAATTTACTGCCAGCTTCTTTACCTAACGATTCTCGACCTAAATCAACTGGTGGAGTGCCTGGTATAACAATTGAAACTTTGGAAGATTCCTCCAACAATATTCATCATCATTCATCACATCTTCACAATCCTCATCTTAACCACTCCCATCAGCATCATCAACATCATAATCATAATCATTCTCATTCTCATTCTAATCACCATCAGCAGCATCCTTCGTTTGCCAATACCGGATCGTTGCCTGATTTAACTAATTTACAGTATACAACTTCACTCTCACCAAATACTGATCTTGATCAGCCTTCCTTATCACCGGTTACCAATACAATGGCCAATACCATTTTGACCGATGCCTATCCTAATGCCAGTCCTAGTCCAGGATCACCATACAACTGTGTCTCCTCAACCTCATTTGTCAACCAAACATCAACCAATTACTCTACATTACCAGCATCTTCAGCCTCGTTTGTCCAGCAACAATCATCCATTTTCACCCAAAACACCTTTGATGATCTGATTGATCAAAATGATTTTGATTTCATCAATTATTTTGAAAATTAAAACTACAACTTGTTATTAAAAACTGATTTTGATCAATGCATGATTAAAAGAAGTTATTTCCACATTGGTGCATTTTCTTGGAAGATGAAAGTGAACTCATGGAGAAAGATGCAGTAAATAGGAAATTTCATTGCGAATTTAAAAGGTTCTCAAGTGCAGGCTGCCGCATTTACAGTGCAACATTGTATGATATTTGTAAGATTAACATTAGATTCAGGATTACGAAAGTGGAATGATAATTTTATCTTTTTTTGCGCCATTTAACTCTCAACAAAGATGTACTAATGGTTTTATGGCATATTGCAACTCATGAACATAAGTGGAACATAGATATAGTTTAATATCTGAAACTAGAGATGTTCCGAATTGATTTATTGATGGATTCTGTTCATCTATGACTTAACGAAATAGATCGCGATTGGTCTATTGAAAGATACACGGAAAAAAGTCTGCACTGTGACGGCAACTCCAATAGCAGTTATTACTCATGAATAGTTATGAACATAATGATTGATCGGAATTAATGTGTTATAACTGTTTATGGAAAATTTTTGTTTAACATTGGTTCGAATTATTTTTGCTATTCAATCAATTGTTCTGAGAAAATTCCTCGTGACTTTCTTCGAGATTCAGTTGTGACAAGTTGTACTCAATCAAGAAATGAAATTTAAAACATTTTACACAAACTCATTGATCTCTTTACTGCATTATTGTTAACTTTTAATAAGCAGATTTTTGGCTACAAACTAATTTGATCAATTTTGGTGTTTCCATCAAACAGCTAAATTGAGCTATAATTTGATTAAAATTGTATATTAATTGAAAATTGATGTAAGTTTTAATTTTTCTCACTTTGAATTTCATTGTTGTTGATTTGTATGAACAATTCCTCTTTACAAGGCATTAAACGCAGAAAAAAAATTAAACCAAATCACGTTCCTGATACAAAAAACACTTTGGTTGGAGTTTAATGTAATTTTAAAAGAGCAAAATTTTCAGTTAATTATCATTGTTATTGTCTTAATTCACCTGTATCTATGGTTTTGTTTACCTCTATATTACACTGTCTTCATCAACCCAAGAAGGATCAAAGCTGATTATGTACATTTGGTGCCTTCAAAATTTTCAATATTTTGTTTGTAAAAAATTAAAATCTAATTGAAATCAACTTATACCCAAAATTATTGATGTTTTATCTCAAGGTTTCAATTCATAAGTTTAATTATCCAACAATTTTTTGCAACATTTTGATCTTGAAATGTTTCTCTTCCAGAGAGACTCAGCCATTGAAATAACTCCTTCTTTGTAAATGGGATCACAAAAGCCATGGTTGTAACTAGATTTTTGAGTTTGATTCTTGCCTTTGAGGTGGATTCATCCTTAAATAAATATCTTATAGTTGTGCACTCAATCAAGTCATTTCTTGTTTTCAACTCCTCCTGAATTTCAAACTTTCTGTTCTGGTTTGCAGCTCAGATAACGAGGTCTGCCAGGTATTTTTTATAATACATCCACTTTGGCGGCAGTCTTTTTATTTTCCTTTCATTTTTTTCTCTTCTTTAGATTATATCGCAATAGATTTTCTGTTCTTTATAAATCTATTCACCAGCCTTGATGATATCAAGACTCGTAAATCATGACCAGCGTCATAGGTTTCTTTATCTGATTTCTTGAGCCCCTTTGAAAGAGTGTTCATTATATAACGTGAAACATGTTCATTCACAGCTCACTTAATCACCTGAGAAGTCTTTAATGGAACATTCAATTAGGCATGAAATCTTTTGTTAATCACTTCCATTAGCTTTATAATCACTTTCAATCTAAACATAGGGCTCTGGTGGACCAACTTGTCCATACTGGTAAAGGACGCCAAGATTTTAATCAAAGTGAGTGAAGGCCTTCAGCTAAATACTGTAAAATTATTGTAAATTAACAGTAAAATTATTAAGTTTTGAATCCGTTAATCAATTCTCTTTTAGATACTGATTTTTATCCGAAAATAAGCGATTAATTTGACTGGTTGGCTTGATTACTAACTCTCTAGATGCTACAAATGTTGATAAAAAAGCTAAACCGAAGCTAGTTGTTATCAAAGTCAACCAATGCGCTGAAAAGGTTAATGTCTGTTTAAAGCCATAATTTGTTCAGCTGAGTCGATTACAGCGAATGAGTCAAACTTTATCTCCAATTCCTGGATCGTATCATAATCTCATCAGATTCAGCGAGTTTCAGTGCATTATCAAGGTCTATGATTGACATCAGTTAAATCCAATTTTATTGAATTTACAATCGACTCAGACTGTCACAATGAACAAACAAAATGAAACAAAACCTTTGCTTAAAATGACCTACAGTAGACTTTCCTGATGTCAACATTAGACCCAGAAATTGTTATTTAGGAACAGTAAATGCATAACTAAATGGTTCAGTAAAACTTGAAAATTTTAAAATCTTTGATGAACGGTAATTAAAATGTATCTAATATCGTATATTTAATAAACGAAAATTGATATGAATATTCACTAAAGTAGATTCAAGCCAAAGGAATGTAGTTACAATGTTTATCAACAAATAAATCAACGAGTCATATTAAGTATTGCAACACAAATATTTTATTACAAGATAATATAAAAGCTCAATTAAACCATTTCAATCACTGAATTATCTATTGATAAACTTCGGTGGTTAATCTCGTGATTCATGTAACCAAAAGAGAACCGGTTTTACAGTCAGAATTGATTACCTTTTAGCCTTTAGCTAAGTAACCAGTTACTTGTAACTAAAAAGTCTGTTACATTTACTATCGACTCATTGAGTCTTAAATTGAGACTCTCAATGATTCAAAAGCAAACGAAGACCAATTTAACTAATTTTGATTAAACGATACAATGATAGTCGGGCAACTCGAATCCATGAGCATCAATGTTGTTTAATGATAGATTGACTGATTGCCCTCCAATAGGGTTGAGTATTGTGATAATCCAAAGTTACAATTAATAAATGTAACACATATGGTTGTGTTGTCAGATGGTCTCGATAAAGGTTAATTTAAGTATTAAGAATTATAAAATTACTAATTGATGAAGACAAATATATCAATTACATGAAAATAAGAAAGATTATACTTTTCAAACCCTTTAGTTTGATTATAATTAACTTTTAACTGTTTTGATGCAATAATCAACAGTAAATATTATCTCTTTAACATTCCCGCTTCTTGAATACGCTTGGTTATTTTGTACTCAAATATCTATCAGATTTACTTTTTGTATCGAGTATTTCCGTACGCTTTTATACTTTAACCGTAAAAATAATAAAATCCGGTTATATGTTTGAAAGTCTGTTTATATTATTTTCATATTGTTAAAGATTCTGTTGATTTGATTATTGCTAATTAGAAGATAAAGTGATTATTATACAACATTATCTTTCTTTGTGTTTACTGTGGGGTCCATCTATTTTGCTGAAAATGAAGAACATTAAAGAGTTTTTTAGCAAGAAAAAGTTATCTTACAAATTTTCGAATGCACCTCCTGGACATAAGCTTGGTACTAAAGAGGAAGCATCCGCTCAACGTTCATCATCATCATCTGCATCTGCATCTAAACCTCAAGCTTCATCTTCATCATCTAGAGAGACTCCGGCCTCGTCATCCGCCTCTGCTGAACGAATTAAGACAGCTGCAGCTGAGGCTGCAGAACGTCGCCAGGCCCAACAGTTGGAAAAATCTAAAGTGAAATTTCCTAAGTCTTACCTACCGCCTCTAGAAAAGGTAATTTGTATATAGGTATTTTTAATTATTAAATGGTAATTGTCTAACTTGTCAATTAATTGCCTTTAATTTACTCTCCATATTTTAGGAAATTGAGGACGAAAGAAAAGCTGAACCTGAACCTGAACCTGAGGAGAAAATCAATGAGGATGATGCACATAAGTTTAACTGTCCCGATTTGGATATAGTCGAATATTCATCATTAGCTTCGTTAAAGGAGCAAATTATGGAAAAAATTAAATCAAATTTTGGAGAAGACCCGATAATTTGTGGATCTCTTTTGATACGCAATTGCAACCCCAGAGAAAAAGGAAATGTGTGCATTTCAACTTTGGAGGCGATTTTAAATAACTTGAGAACTGAAGATGAAGAGGCATTTGCAAAATTCACAAAATTAAGGAAAATCAAAATTGAACCCAAAATTCTCTCCGCGAATGGAGGTCTTGAGTTTTTAACTGGAATCGGATTCAATCTTTCAGAGGATGGTGAATGGTTTACATTCAATGACTCTAAAAATGGATTGGATGAGAAATTGCTCTATTATTTGGATGTTCTCACAACCAGTGCTGTTTTCCCTATCTTTGTAGATCGAGAAGCCTGTGTTTATGATTTAAATGGATTAAATACACCTAATGTTAACTTTGATGACAAAATTTTTGAGATGACTAAAGATGAACTTACCAGAGAGCAACAAATTCGTAAAGAGATTGCTGATAGAGAATCAACTCTTATGACAAAAGCTATGAGAGAAAGGTTTATCACCAGAAAACCAAAATCACGCTATACAAGATTGAGATACAAGCGATTGGATTTCAAAATGATCGAGGCAACATTTAGAACAAATGAAACTCTTTATGATTTCATTAGATGGTTAAAAGATGACCATTCTATGGAGGATATAGAAAATTATGATATAACTTGTGGAACCCAGACAATCCCCGTTGAAGACTGGGATAAAACATTCCTTGATCTCGATTTCTATCCGAAAGTCACATTTTACCAACGCTTACGAAATGCACCTATGGAATAATTTATGAGCTTGAAAGGTGTAATATTTGAAGCAACAATCACCTATCTAATTAGCCTTCATTGTCTTACATCATTCACTGTTTCAACTGTATCATATGGTTTATCAACTAATGAAAAAACATTGAATTAGTAAATAAATGCAAGAAATCGTTCGCAAGACAATAAGACTTTTCAAATTTTTCATAAATCAACTATTTTCCAATTTCACCTTCAATCAAGAATCAATTGTATTGTAAATTTTCATGATGCTCGAATTGGCATTTAAGTAAATAGTATTGTTTCAAATCAGTCAATCCCAAATCACTCTTGTTCAACTTATTTCAGAGATTCGTTTCTCCAACTTTGTGCAATGAAAAATATATTTCAATAAAGTGCTAACCTTTTGACCAAAGAAATTAGTTATTGAATATTAAGCGAAATATTAAGTGAATAAATTTATGTAATAGTCAATAGTCAATAATAATATTAATATTAATGGTAAATAATCAGTATAAATACAAAGAATGTAATCAACAATTGACAAATTCATTCTTTTTTGATATTCATTCTTTTAAAGTAAGAAGGCATCTTGATTGTATCTTTAATAACACAGAATGATAGCAAAAAAGACAATTGGTGAATTAATTTTGTTAAATTAAGGCAGCGAAGATCCAAAGATTGAATTGCTTGAATAAAGAGAAAATAAACATTCATTTGAATCGTCGTAACATGGTATATAAATCATTCTTTTTTCTTAAATTTTTTTCTTAAAACTGTAGAAACTACAAAAAATGGAGCAACATAGCAAAAAGTGAGCTTTTTGATTCCATGTTTGAGTCAATTGTTCATTAACCGGTATAAGTCGTAATAATGTATAAATTGATTAATTCGTTTTTTGTGCAAAAAAGGCAGACATGGTCCTAATAGATTATTAAGTTCGTTGGTATTTGATTGAAGGAAGAATGTGACGAAGAAATAAAACCATTACTGTTTGGTCCCACAAAATTGATTTGACTGGATTTGCATAGTTGATTGCAAACAAAAAGAGTCGATAGGAAATCTATCTGGTATTGCTAAATTGTTGGTAAATTTGGTTAAAAAATTGACATTCTCCATCCAAAATACCATCATTAAAAATAATTATGACTTATTTGCTATTGAATTGCTGCTGTTGATTAGCTGGCATATTTGATTATTTGATCTTTATACATTGTCTTAAACGGTTGATTCGTTGATCAAATTCTTCTTGGTGGGTATTCTTTTGTTTGATCCATGATGAAAGAAAAATTGTTAATTATTGCGAAAAGTTGAGAATCATTCGATTTTCCTAGAAAAACATAATTAGCACTTCTTTTGATCTTCTTTTTGATAATTGGTAGTGATTTTGTTTCTTTCAATTTTAACCTTGTAATCATTTGAATTTACTATGTTTACGATATTTCCTTTTGTTTTTCTCAATGATGATGACGATGATGACGAGCTTTTACAAGTTAGGAAGATGATAACAGATGAAGATACACATTGAATCAATGATGATCTTAATCTGGGTACTTTTTGTGTTTTTACTTTGTTTAGATAGCAGCATCAGCAGCTTTTCCTCCTTCAAGTCGACGGAAATATGCGTTCACCAAATCTCTAAAGTTGATTGGATCCAAGTTTTTGGAAAGTAAATTAAGAAGGAACCAATCTCCAATATCACCTTTATTAAGTATACTTTCTAGAGCATCTCGGCTGGCTAGGCGACAGTTTGTTTGAACCTTGCTGAGTCGCATTTTGGATGAAACGATGGTCAATGCTCGGTAAACAAGATTACCAAGGGTCAAGAAGAAAAGGAAAACAAACCAGAACCATAAGAAGATGTAAATTTTTTCGTTAATAATGTTGATTGGCAAGATACACATGGCATCGTGTTTCTGAACATCTCCTGAAGAACCATAACGATGGAAGGTACACTTTGTAAGACGAGGGAAAATTTTAATCATTGGATCATATCGAAGAGACCAATCCCATTCCGAAAAGGCAAGAACATTGATACCATATTTAAGAAATTCACCACCAAGGAAACGGTTCATCATAATCATTTGGAAGATAACGTTGAGAAGATTTAAAACTTCAGCCAAGCAATACATGTAGAAGGAGAAATTGTGATGCTTCAAATTTCGCATGAGATAATCAACGAGTAGCTCAAGGTTGCGTTTTTTATCTCCTTCTGAGATGATTGGGTTGTTTAGTCCGAGAATAAGGTTACGAACTTTGCCTCCCTCAAAGGTTTTCCAAAAATAACGGGGAAGATAGAAGAAAAGAGCTTGGAAAAAGAGAACAAAGCAAACCCATTGGTAATAGGCATGGTAAATCTTTTTCTTTCCATCGGTAGTTTTATCTACACCAGGGTAGGGAACCTCGGAACCAACTTTTTTAAACCAAGCTTCATCAATGGAAAAGGTTGTGTGAATCCAACAAAATGTATCCAATAAATTATTTGGTATATCATCACGGGAAATACAATCAATGGGATCACCAAAATATTGACGAGCTGTTACCATTATGCTGAATGCAACCAAAATACAAACACTGAATTTGTAATGTAAACGGAAAATAGGGTTGTCCGTGATACATGTTTGTGGTTTAATGAAACTTTTAAGGCTACTAAATAGCTGATCCATGGTTTAAATTTGGTAGTGCTTGTAGCTGCCTTATATTCAATTGGACTGGAATATTCTTTCCTTCTGCTGGTAATTTATAAGTTTCCGTAGACTATTAGTTTAGTTTAAATTAAATTAAACTAAAATAAGAACGGGCAAGCTTAAAGAGTCTTTCTCCTTCCTATAGATGAAGGAGAGATCATTTGGTTGATAATGAAATAAAAATGGTAGACGATGGCAACGGCGGTGTTGATTTTGATGTCGATGGTGATGGATAAAGTTGATTACAATGATTTACAAGCATGGTTGATGTAATCCATTGGGGGAACAGAATAAATTATAAATCAGGAAGAGAAACAGAAAAAATTAGTTAAACATAAATTGATTAAACTTTTTTCTTACTCTCAAAATCTATGCAACTAGCAACTTTGAGCAACAGATGATGTTAGTGATGAAACAATGATTAGAGGGAAATGGAATGAGGTAAAACACTTGGAAGAATTGATTTTAACAATAGTAATAGGAGTTGGAAAAGGAGCAATTCAGACAATAATTAATAGCATTGCAATATTGACACTACATGTATCAATAAAGAAATGAACACACAGACAGAGAAAAAAGGGAAACAAGAAGTCGGAATGAATACCTTTTTCAAGTACAACTCTTGATGGTGAAAAATTATTTGATGATATAAAATGTAGTTAACAGTCGTAGAAAAGAATCAAATTTGATGAAAATAATCCAATAAGGCAAGTTTAAGGCACACAGTCTATTGAAAATAAGATGCTTGAGTTGGAATAAGTTTGATAAAAAAAAGTTGATACAAAGATTGGTCTGTTTAAAAAAAAGATTTGTAGATAAATATTCCGTTGGTTAAGTTAAATTAATGGGAATAAATAATCCAAAGATGGTGGTGGACCTAGAATGTTGACGAACACAAAAGTAATTACAATTAATGTAATGATGACAATCAAAATATTGGCGAAACAACATGAGAAATATCGATGTTGAGCAAAAAATTGTTGGCTTTCACCAGATGAGTTGTTGGTCCAACTTTGATTAACACAGAACAAGAAAAGTTAAGAATCAAGTTTTTCCAACACCAAACCAGAAGAGGAAAAGAGGGGAAAAAGTAGACAGAAAAATGAAAGAGCTGAAAGGAAGAGGAAGATAGTTAGAGGGGGAGAGGGAGTGGTGTAATGATGAAGAGGCTATTCAAGAAAGAGAGCAAGAAGGAGAGTTATGAGGCGGAATGTTTAGGATGAAAAGGTAGACAGAAGAAAATAGAAAGAGAAGATTGAATTAGAAGATAGAAAGACCAAAATGGCTTGGCTATTTTACCCGTTTTTGTTAATTTTTTATCTGATCAAAGTCTCTGATTGGCATTTCCATGACCGGTATAATGCTGAATTCATTGAGTTTATCACAGATTTTTCAACACACAACAAACTCTTGATTCAGCATGGAAAAGGTAAGATAACAATTGCATCATTTCAATAGTTTAGAGTTGAGTAAAAGGTTACTTTTGTCTTGAAATTTTTATCTCAAAATTTTCTCAAGTTACTCTTCATTTCAATTCTCAATCTTATATTTCTTTTTTTCGTCTCAACTGTTTCTTTTTTATTGTGTGTTTCATCAATTGAATAATTGATCAACAAGACAATCAACAACTATTAATTTGAATCGACTGATTAAACAAACTGTGTCTCCAAAATGTTAACCTGATGTTAGGCCTTTCCATTTTGTATAATAACTCTTACCAAATCTCTCATCGGCCATCTTAAATCCTCTGAAAGTGAATTAATGTTTGATATTTAATATCTTCAAGGTTAATCTTAACTCTTTATTCAGTTTGTGTGTTCAATTAATTCTTGTAATTTACCAGGTTACAAGCAATTTGTTCATTTTATCCCAGGATAATGATGATTTGAAACAGTATTATAACACATTTTTTGTTAGGAGTAAAAGAGATGCAAAAAGATGATGTTCATTAAAAAAGTAAGGTTATAATTACGGAAGTCATTTTGTGTTGAAGAAAACCGTTGAAAGCGGACATTTTTACGCTCAAAAAATGCTCAGTAAAAACAAAAAAGGTGAAGATGATCATGTTGATGATAGTGAAGGAGAAAAGAAAGGAAATCAAAGAAGAAAAAAAGAAACAATTAGAAGCTATTGGGACGTAGCTTGACGGACCGATGAAGAAAAGGTAAGATGATAATTGTGGGAGGTGAGGGTGAGCTTAAAAGATACACAGAAGAAAGGAAAGAGAAAGAAGAAGATTCTTATTCTTTTAACCTTTAACTCACATCCTTATCATCATATTATCATGAGCATTTGAATCTCAAGAATTATTAGTGATTAAACCAGAAAATGTTTACTTCTCTATGTGCCATGCATTCCGTATTATTCATAATACATACATAAATGTTGACAAAAAAAAGAGACAACCTTAAAGCTCGGGATATTGACCTTGCTCTTTACCATCAGAGCGAGTCATAAGTCATCTTCTGGTTGCTTTTTTGCGACACTTCACCGGTAACCAAATCACTTATCGCTTCAACTACCAACCAAGGATAAAGATTTAAAGATATATTTAATATTAACTACAAAAAAGGTAGCAAAAGAAGGTAAATTAAAAAGTAAAAAAAGGTTCAACAATGGGTAAAATAGGTTTAGACCTGTGACACTTTGGGTTCACTGTTGGTAAAACCTTTTAAGTGAACAGAAGCGGCAACTAAACTGACTTGCAGTAATAACCAAAATAATAGCTACATTATAATCTTAATCATTTCAATTCCCATACAGACAACAGGCCAACAATTAACCAAAATTAACCAGAAACAAAAATAAAGCAAAAAGGTCTTCAAAATGAGCGCTTCTTCAATCTTTAGATTCATTTCTGGTTAGCCTTTTTTGCGTTTTCACTTTTCCTTATTCGTCTTATTTTTCTGGTTTACTGTTCATTTTAATGTTTAAAAATCGTTATCAATCAGCTTTTTACAACATAGACAATTCTCAAGTGTTAGATCGAGACATTTAGCTAATTGTTATTGATTACCATGTTTGATTAGTTTGCCTTTGCCTCATCTTATCAATGGTAACGTATTTGAACATGAAGATGTTTATTGTAATGCTATTTTCCTCATTTCTTTTTTATCATCTTCTCATAATTGAGTTGACTTGGTTACAATCAAATGATTAGTTGATTTTGATTCCATCTTAAACACTGGTAAATGTTTCAATGATAATCTTGAACGGCTGAAAATAGTGCAATAATGAAAGTGAAAAGGTCACAACTCGATGGCGAACAATCATGGCTAGTCTTTTTACGAAAGGGTGACGATACACATTTAATGGTGACAATTGATTATTGTTGGTAACAATTTAATGCTCTTCATTTAATTAGTTACATAAATATTGATCACTTCAAATTTGACAGTTGTAATGCATTTTAAAAATGCAATCTCATAGAAAGTTTGTTGAAACTCTTTTTACCTTTGAAATGGGAAATCATTTAAGCCAAGGTTAACCATTTACCTAAATAATTGAAAAGCTAAATTAACTCAATTGTCTGTGAATAGTGTTAATCATCTCTCTGATTCAACCACTTATGATGAGACCAAAGTTAATCCAAAATACACTTGAGATTGAATCAGATTTTGATAGTTAGACAACTTGCTTTCTATTCAATTGAGATTTACAGATAAAAATAATGTTTTTGTATACATTTTGCCTCACATTGATAATTTGTGATTTACATTATAATTACAGTCAATTGTGAGTTAAGCGGAGAATCAAAGAGCACAATTAAAGAGTTGTTTCAACTACTGTTCTAGTTTAATTAACATCAAGGTTCAATTAATTGTAATCACAAAGGTTAACAACTCTTGTTAAAGATGTGAGTGTTGGTTTTGGGTAAAAATTGGGTTTTCAATGTAAAAGGAAATTTGATTTACCCGGAAGAATGTTGTTGACTAGACAATGTTAAACCATATGGTTTCATTGAATCAACATAATCAATTTTAATTGTGTGAAAAACAATCGGCGTCAAGGTTGGAATTGATTGGGGAAGCTTTGAGTTGGTTGTTTTTGGGTAACTTCTGGTTTGCCCATTGATTTGCCAAAATTTAAATGCTGGCCTTTTGAAATTTGTTTAACTCTTCGTTTTAAAAATAGCTCTTGTTATGGTCATTAGAGGCCTTAGAGGTCAACTGGATGTTAAAGGTTAGCCCAAGCTGTTTGTGTTACGGTCTATATAAAGATTGACTTTTCTCGTTGTTAACGTCAATCAAGTTGCACCAGTTTTATGGTGAATGATTTCATTACAATTTACTGGTTAAATTGTTTGCTTGTTTTTCTTGTCTAATCAAAGAAGCTTATACTTTTAATTTGTCTAAAGACTTGAAATTAATTTAGCCTGCCTTTGAAACATAATTAATGTGATTACAAGAAATTTTAACCAGTGAATTGTGAATATTGAGGTGACACGAGAAGAGATAGTTAAGTGCACAATCCTGGAATCCCAGTTTTAATCAAGTAAAGACTGGTGATTGTTGTTGGGTTTACATTAACCAATTTCAAAGGCTGCTTGGGTTGTTGATTAAATATCAAAGTTGATTGAATAAAAGTGCTTCATTGATGTTCCATTAAAAACCAGGGAAACTTGAAAGTGATGGAATCCTTGGTTAACAGCAATACTAGGACTGGCGATGATGAAGATGGCTAAACAGACTAAAATGGAATACAGATAAAATTAACAATTAAAGAAAAGATGATTAATGATTGAATAAGTGATAAATGATGAAAATGAAGATGATGAGAGTCTCTAAATGACCTTTCAGGTTTTTTGTTTTGTTTTGATCATAAGCGATTTAGAAAGGTAATTTACATTATATTATTGCAACTTTAATGGCAATTTATTATGAGATTGGTTGACTGTTGAATTAACATTTGTACAATAATGAATTAAATTAGCTGAAAACCCAAATTTAAAGTCAAGGGTTTGGTTCAAGCTTAAGGGTAACCCAATGGGTTGAATGGTTTATGATAAAATAGCAAAATGAAACCTTTTAACTTGATAATTAGTTAATGGTTAAAGTATTAGCATTTATCATTCGACTAAATCAAATATTGAATAATTTCTCAGCCTGATGGATATCAGTTGTGAAAAAATGTTGAATTTGTTGTTGAACAGTACTTTAATGGAACAGCGAATGAATAATCTCAAATTATTCGTGGAACTGATCTTTTAGGCTATCACAATGATTCACTGTTCTCTCTGTGTTGAAGGATGATTAAGCTAAACTCTAATCATCAATAGGCTAATAAACCAAGATTTAATCAGGTCAGGAAAACTTGACTATGATCAAAGTTGAATCAATTCAACCACGGAAGTCATTGATTATTGTTAATAAATACCATTTTATGATCAAAAATAGAGCCAAAATCATGTAGTTGTATCAGCACTGGTCAGACATTATTGTTATCACACCAAGTTGAAGATCAATCAAGCAAACCATTGCTTTAATCGAATTTCAATCCTTCCAAATAATGGTGATAATAGAAAGTGATTAATTTGAACCAATTATAAACCATTAAAGCCTAAATAGCAATAAAATGTAAATGAAAGTTGATGAAAGTGTATTATTCAAAGAGATTTTACAAAACTTACGAACTTTTACAACCGGATTGAACAAATCAAACAAATTGGTCAGATCAAGACTAACACAGAAAATGACAAAAGGTAAGTTGATGAAAATCCAATGAAAGGGAAAATGTTGACCTGAAAATAGGTTGATTATTGTTGATCTGAATTCAATACAGATAAGCAAGACACATGAAATGAAAGCATAAAATGGCCAAACAAAGGCATCACATGTTAACCACAAATTAACCAAAAGCATAAATAGTTTGCCTCTTTTTTAACAAACATTTAATTTTAACAATTATCTTGAACAAACCATTAATTAGATAATGTTAATTTCAACAAACAACTTTAATCGTAGTTGAACTTCACAAATCAAAAGAATTGAATAATTACTTTGATTCAAATCAAAAAAATGCATCGAGAATAAGATTTGAAGCTTTACTCTTTGATCTTGACTCAAAGCCTTTGAGTCAAAGGTTTAAAGTCAAAGAGCCATCTAGATTAATATGAAATAACCATTAAAATATTGTAAAATTCAAATACATTGTTAGGAATATAAATTGCCGATGTAAATTATATTTACTTTTGTCTCGGCAATAATTTACTAATTACAATAGCAGATTGAGATAATAGACAACAATTAGCACGCATAATTAACCTGTTATCTAATACTTGTGGAGGTGAATTGAGGACAGTTAAATAAACATTGGCTGGCCCTTAATATATATTTATTTTCATCATCATTTAAACAATTAAAATGATAAATTTTATTTACATAGCAATCGTTCAAAGTATACAATAACAGATAGTCTAAATTGCTGGAAAACATTTGATCCATCAACAACAGTCAAATGAGTCAAATGAGACAGATGAGACAGTAAATAATTTTAAAAAGGTTCATCTGCAGAATTGTTGACATTGATTATTAACCATAATATTCATATTCATATTCATCATGTTGATACCTAACTCATTATATTGGGAACAAAAATAACTTTCATTTTGGTTTGTTTGATTTCTATGACAATTTAAATGTAGCCTGAAATGAAGTCAGGCCCAAAGATGGACGGACCATCAAGTTAATCACTAGTAAATCTTAACAGATTCAAAGATATTTGCAATTGACAGTTTAATGATTAAAAATGAAATTTCAAACTAAATATGGGAATAAATGACTGTCTCCTGAATCTTTACAATCAGCAATAATATCAAGTGAATCAAGCGTTCATCATTAAAGCCTAAAACTGGCAAAACAGATGTAGTTGTGATATTTTTAGCACAACAAGTCACAACAATTTGACAGTTTCCGTTAGATGAATGATGGACCTTATTTCCGTTGATATTATTGTAGTTGCTTGACGAAACGTGTTTTAATTTTCACCATTACATTTGATTCCATTTTGTTAAGTGTGTAGATATCCTGATAATCCTGTGGATTGAAAGAGAATGAAATACGTTAATTATCATATTTTAAAGCAGCACAAATCCCTCATCAACAGAATAGCAGTAAAGTAAAGCATTTGACAAACCTTGAAATGGATGACATTTTGTGTGTTAGTGAAGTAAAAAAAAACAGTAATCAACATTGTCCCATTATATTATTGTGAATGATTAAGTTTATCTCTTAAACATGTCAACTGTTGTTACCCTTAATGAATGTGTATTGAAGTTAATTACACTGGTTATACTTGTTTGATTCAATTTAAATTGAATTTACTGTATCATGTTGTTGAAAGATTAACTTTCACTTTCTCCTTGTTAAAATCTGCTGGTTAAATGTTGATTACAGATGAACTGGATGAAAGAAACAATTTTATATCATCTAAACTATTATTATTGTTGTTAAATGTTAATAAAAAACTAACATTAAACATGTAACAGTAAATTAATATCCTAACCATTCGAATCTGTATAAGCAAGAACTGTTCAGCTTGTTTAGAGACGATCCTGGATCAGCTTCTTGTTAAAGCATTTATTCATTTCTCCGTTTCAATCTTAATTTGATTTAGATTATGCCATTGAAAGGACAAAATGAATCAATTAATGAAATGATTTAACAGGAAAACAATGAGCTTGATAAAGGCTACTGAATCAATGTTGATGGTGGAGAGTGAAGTAAACGATGGTTCCTTTTTTACAATTGTTATCTGTTGATTGTCATCAACAATGATGGGCGATTCCAAGAAAATCAAATGATTTATTTATAAACTTGGTCTCTCTTCTTCTCGCTTATTGTCCTCCGTTTTGGTTTGTTCATATATTTTCAGGTCATTTGGTCATCATCATGTGCCATTTGAGTTGATTCAATATACTGGACAAAATGTTCATCTGTTGGAAACAAAAAAGAAACCAAAATATTAATTTATTATTTTAATGTTCATTCAATTGTCAATCAAATTAAAGCGAAAAAATAAAGCTCATTCAATAATGTATCCACCATGCGATAATAGATCTGAATATGACCTCAACTCGGCTGACATCACAATCAAATGGCAGCCAATAGATCAGACAAATAAGCAAATAGACAACAGATGATGTAATTAGCATTCTAATGTTGATTTAATTGAACAGAATTGAAAGAGACCAGGTAAAAAATGATCACACGCTCAGCATTAGAGAAACCAATTTAACTATAAACATATGAAAGTGCAAGTTAAACTCACAATTTCAATCTAATCATGTTAGCTATTTGAATGGTGAGAACCAATCGAAAGTAATCAAATAAAATTAAACGCTAAGTAAATGACAAATGTAAATGGTGAAAGGAAAAGATCTAATCATTGAAAGAAAAAGTACTTTTTTGCTAAAAAATCATGTGAATTGCCGTAGCTTTTGTTGTTGATGTTGTTGGTTCGGGTTTATTGTAATGGTGATGATGTTGGTGTGGTGATAATGATGTTGAGGATGACAGAGAAATGTGAATCATGAAAGGAATTACAAGTATTGAGAGTAAATCATGGTCATGGAAAGCTAACCTTTTCCCAGGTATTTATAACCAGAATAGTGTATCGTACAAACTGGATCTACATTGTTTGAGCTCAAGAGAGGAAGAAACAGAGAGATGCGGATGAAGATGATAATGATAAAAGTCTGAAAAGATGAGATTTACTTATAACAAAAGGTTTCTTTGGATGAAAAATTGAGTAAAATAGTGACAACAAAATAACAATGATTCTTGTACACACCATTATTTTCACGCATTTCACCAAATTTAACAAAACTGTTCATATTTCTGTTGCTTTCATCGTCTTTCATGTTCAACTGAATCTGTACATGTACGGTAATATTATTTGCTTTGATTATGGATATCTTTAAATGATCATTGAATCTCAATGATTTTAAACAAAAGCAACTTAACTCTGAAAGGTTAAACACTTGTTGAGCACACTTAACCTTAGCTAAGCTCAGGTAAACCTTTTTCTTTCACCCAAAAGATCATGAAAAAAAATATTTAACTCACCTGTTACAGTAGCAGAATAAGCAACAATTTTTTGGACAATGTCAAGTTGAATAATGACGATAACTTGAAGAGTTGACAATTTAAACATCAATTAGTTCCACTGAATCTCATAGTTATTTCATAATTATCATGATACAGTATGATCATTGTTATCACTTAGGATACACTTGATGGCACTTTGACAACAGCAACAAAACGGCATCAGTAATGATGGAAATGGAGAAGTTGATTAAGGTGATGATAATAGCAATATTCAAATCAATTGTTTCTGTTGAGAATGGTAATGGTGATCGGTTAAAGGAAGAAAAGAAGAAGCTGTTGATAATTGTAGCCTTTTTTCGGGTTTGAATTTGAACAAAACATAAAGAAAAACGGTTTTCTTTTGTTCCTTAAATATGGCAACTTGGATGAGTAAAGGTTCAATGTTAATAAATGTTAAAATTGCCATTTTCTTAACACTGTTAACAATTAGAGACAAGATTATACCATTACTGTCATTACCGCCATTATACTCATCATAGTTCAACTGATTGGTTATTTTTGTCTATTGCAATGGAAATCACGTCGCGCCATTTTATTTTATTTTTTTGTTCGGTTCATTCCTAATAGATTAACCTTTTTCCAAATGAGGAATTAATAGTTGAACTTGCAGTCATCAAATGGTTACTAATTAGCAACTTGAAACTGTGATTAGTGTCAAAGTAATGGATTTAACCAATAAACCTTTTATATTGTGAAAACAAGATTTTACATATAACCTTTTATTAACGTAATTTTTTGCTCATTTTTGCATTTTTAGACACTTAATTTTAGGAGTTAACAACATATAACTAGACATGGATAACAATCAATCAAAATTATCAACAAATCTATTTTATTTGATGGTCGATGACTCGCCCAATTTGACAACAGCTTCTTCATAGCTTGGAGGTTGAATGTCTTCATATGCTGGTAAGGTTTCTCTGTTAAATGAATGGACACTTCGCTGGTCAACCACATCAATACCTGAGGCTGTGGACCGGTTGATCTCAAATGGATCATAGGTAACCCTTAAATCACTATAACGTAATTCATCAAGTCGGATAACACGATCAGAGAGACGTGCACGAGCACAGTTACGGACAACAATCCAAACCATCATTAAAACAGTCATGGACAGTGAAAACCCAAATATATTGGCCATTGAATGGTTATAAAAATATTGTTCATTGGCATTGTTACCATTGGTATTTCCATTGAAATTTCCATTACTTCTACATGAACCCTCAAAACAGCTTCTCCGTGGCCATAAAACTGGAACAAAAGTAAAGACCAAGCCAATCGTTAATGGTACAAGCAATACAGCAACCTTTACATCTAAAATATTGTTATAAAAAAGTAACCTTACCATCACCAAAGAAGACACATTTATCACTTCTCGAGTTGTAAAGGTGCTTTATGGAACAGATGCATTTGTTAATGTAACATCGACTGAATGAGCTTCGTCGAAGACAATCATAATCCGTTAAACATGGTGTATCAATTAATCTGGGAATGCATTTACCTTCAATCAAATCAAATACATAGCCAATATTACATTGACAAATACCTGGGATTAAGAGATCACTTCCATTCGAGGCAACATAATCAAGCCAAAGGGATTCAATAACACTATCAAGCGAGTCACCTTTACCCTCCTTAGAGAAGCATCTTGTTCCAGTCATTAAACACTGACCATTGATCCAACAGGCTTCATGGATGGCCAAAATACGCCGTAAACAGTAACCATTCTCATACAAACTGTTTGCCTCTGTACATATACATTTACCTTCATTTGAATCACATTTGGCTTCAAAGGGATTCTTGCAGCCATTCCAGCTATTATATTCATGGCATAATATTTCACTTGAGTCAACAAATTTGGTCATCAACCCGATAAGATTTAACACAACCACAGGCTTGACCAAAATCTTAATCAACAATTTATCCATAACATTGAACATACAGAAACATCGGATTATTTGCTGGTACTTTTTTAGTTGCTATTGTACCTCTTTAACCAACAACAACGCAATAATAATTTTCTTGGCTGCAAATATTGATTAAGGGTAATCATTGATTTAAAGTCAAACACAATTTGAGAATCCAAATGTCTATAAAATATATTTCTTGCTTCCATTTTACCAACCAAAATGAGTTGATCTATTCTATTAATAATAACCATAGAGATTCACTTGATCGATCTAAATGTATAATGATTCCAACAATAATAAAGTTTGCGTGAGTAACTGATAAATTATATAACATATGCATATATATTTGCGAGAAATGATAATTTCATAATAAAGGAAACATGGAAACCAAATTTGAAACAAAATCGATACAAGAGAGATTGAAAAAATGTATTAATTGTTGAATAAAGGAGGAATCCAGCTCAATTGGACCATTTTGTTGATTGATTAGCTTCCAATTTTTAAATTGTCACCAATAGCTTTTGCTGCTAAAAAATCCAATCACACCTTAAATTCATCAAGTTTAATGGATAAAATGGCAATTTTATCGCCCAATAAACACTGACCGATTTAAGTTCAACTGGTAATGACTGTTGCAAATTTTGATTTACATTTGAATTATAATTAGTGTTAAAGTGTTTATCATGTATTAAATAGTTAACAATTTATTTAGACCAAGATTAACATGATAAAGCAACAATGAAACTCGATTTGTTTGATTAATCAGTTTGCCAGCATGTAAACAAAATGCTAACTCATGGACATAAATGGCAATAATATTGAAGATAAAAGTGATGGGAACGATGATGAAATCAATGATGATCAGGATGATGATGATGATGGTTGCCATGAAAAAAAAAGTTGTTAACAATTTAATGTTAAAGAGGAGCAATAAGAAGCTAATGAAAAGAGAAGGGAAAAAAGGTCAAATCAGAAGCCATCAAGATCTTTGAAAGGGAAGCTCAGGTTAGGGAATGATGATGATGATGATAAATTTAGCTGGTTAAGAAAGATGATAGAGTCTTACCTGTCTTTACCTCTTTCTTTGGTCTGATGAACCTGGGCCTTAAATTGGATGAATCGACTCTCATGTAGTTAAATTGGATTCAGTTTCTTCATCTTATTCCCATTATGAGCCTTTTGCTTCTTCTTCTTCTTCTGGTTAGCCATTTCTTTTCAGGCCAACTATCAACAGGTAACCCGAAGTAAGGCAAACGCTTTGTTTTTAATTAGTTGAACAACTGGTTGACCTTAATTCATTAATCATTACTGATACCGATTTACTGGATGGTCAAGAGTCATTGGAATCTAATATTTGCATTTAAAAATATTGTTTCAACCTTTCAATAGCTTTGGTCTGTCTGCAATCGCAAATCTAATCATTGTGTTGTGTGTGTGTCAAGAATTGATTAGTTTTAGCTGTTAGGTATGATGACTGTGATGATGAATGATTATGTAGATGAAGATGATCATGATGTAGGTTTGATAATACTGAATAAAGATGGGGATTGAATGTTGGTAGCTGTAAAAAAATTATTAGATAAGCATACATTAAAACAATGATGGACAACTAGTTTTTTTTGAAACAAGACGATTACTTTGTCCATTGTTACCCTTTTTTGATACAGTTTAGCAACACTTTTTTTGTCATTATTAGGTAATTAGCAAATTGTAATGATACAATTTAGCTTAGACTTGAATAATTTATGCCTAACCATAAAATAAAAACACAAAATGAGGAAGCAATGGTGATGAGTTTGTATTTTATGTTAAATGTAGCTTAGAAAGCTTAGAACATATCAAAATGGTTGTTGACTTTGACTTGATTAACATCTCATAAGCACACACAGAACAGTAATCAATTGACAGTACCGTAAGCTGTTAATTTATTTGTTAATTGGGTCAGCGGGGTTGGTGATGATTGAAATAATTAAATTGATGAGTTGCATGAATAGACATTATTAAGAAGGTAAACTAGAGAAGAAACAAAAACAATCGTCTTTTTGCTTCTATTGACATCTATTGACATTTATTAACATCAACCATAAAATCTGAAGACAATAATTTCATTTATGCAAATTTTGCTTTCCATTTCCAGTAAATTGTGTCTTTAATCCAATCAAAGTGTGACAATTTAGATTTTTAAAATGTAAATTAATCAACAATTTAGTGCTTTATAATGAGTGATCGACAGTATCTTCAAGTGTTACTGTCTTGTGAAGTATTGAAGCTATTGAGACAGCAATCTCCCAACTACATAGATCGGAGGCTCAAGATTGATACGATTGTTTGCTAATCATAATAATTATTTAATGATTAACCTCATAATAGATATAACCATCATCAATAATCAGCTAAATTGAGGTCAGAGTACTATCTATTGTTTAATATTTTCAAGAAACAAACATCAAATGGAAAGATACTTTGTTTATGTTTTGCTTTGGTGCGCTATTTGCATTGTAAATTTGCATCCATGCATTAAACACTCGTAACATTGTAATTAAAATGATTGAAGACACCGATTTCGTTGATCATGATCTTAACACTTTACTAGCAATCCAGGATTGAGCATGAAAATGTTTCATTTAATGTTTCAGTTGAACGTCAGCATCAGTACTTTATCCTAATTATGTTGATATATGATTATGGCCGATTGATACCCGGTTAAACCTGTTGTTGATGGTGTCAACATGAATCAAGTTGATTAAAATATTGCATTAAAGTTAATTGATCGGAATGATCAAGCATCAGCAGTAGAAAAATTGGGATTAAAGATGAACATTAAATTGTAAATAATGTTCAGGCTTAAACCATGATAATCAAGATGAAACAAGATAATAATAAAGTGAAAGTTTGCTTTAAACAAAAGACACCTAAGCCAATATAATCATTATTAGTCGATTGGATCAAATGAAGTTGGTTAAATTGTTATTAAACCTAAAAGGTTGGAAGCTCAATTAGATGTATTAGGTAATAACGTAATCTTAGTACTACCCAGCCGTACTGTTTGGTGGTGATTAACCATAATTATTGCCAAAGGTTTGAGGAATGGTGATTTCAATAGCTTTTTGTCTTCAATTCATTCAAAGAATCAGATTGATTAGATAAATATTCAATTGGATCTTGGAATGGGATTTTAAATAGACAATTTGCTAAATCATTTTTATCGTAAAGCCTAAATCAAGGTTAACCTTAAAATTGCTTTTTTATTTCTTTCTCCTTTAAATTGATGCAACCATTAGCAATTTGATCTGAATTATTGTTGAACGTCTTCATTGATCACCATCAACAGGTAAAATATAATTTTAAAGTGCATCGGCACTTCTCAGCAGCTTCCTGATCACAGTGAAACGTTTAGACTTGTTATTAAACAGTATTTCCCTTTAACTGCATAAGATTCCAACTAATATAAGGCAAATTACTGTTCTTTGTGAATGTAAAGATAATTTCAATTCCATGGTAATCCTCCAACTGAGTTTGTACAGAACACAATTACAGTTAATTCCAGTTGAAATTAAATCATCCATTAATCGATGTCGTTCAAGACAAGACCAGTTTATCCTCTGCCATTGCTCTAAGTCACAAAAGGGCCTGAATTTTAGGTTTTCATATGAATTTTGAAGTCAACTGGTATAATGTAATGTTTCAAATCCGTAAGCCAAACTATTGATAGTCAACTGCATAAAATGATACATTTTTATTATCCATTCACAGCCAATTAATTCCTTGATTTAATTCCTTCAAGTCTCTATAGCATCTAATCACAGCTGAATCTGATTTTAAATTGCAATGTGCCTCAGTTTAAACAAACAAGAAAATTGTGTCTTGTTGCATCTTCAATGGCTCATTGATGACGATAAAGATGACAGTCTTACATCATCCAACTGCTTTCACTTTCCTTATATTAAATATTTATAAATTGTTACAATCAATTTTGATTCCTTGGCAATTGGACAAATTTGCAGTGTTTTCAATTGGATAATGGATGTAAACCTTGAGAGGGTTGAAAATTAATCTACAATTGAAAACAATAAGAATGGATGAAAAGAAGCAAAAAAATAACATTAATTGTTGTGGTTAAATATTATAACAGTTTAAAGCAAAGATTAATCAATCAGTTGATCTAGAGGTTTTATAATTACCCAATTGTTGAAGTCAATTGTCACCAGTAGAAACATCATGTAACCAAAAAGACATTGAACCAACAGTGCAACAGCTGAAACAGAAAAAGTTGAGATTTAATTGTATTGAGAACCAATTAATCAATGTTTAATCAATTGAATTGGTGATTTGATTTTGACATAAAAACTGAAAATAACAACAATTAAACGCTAATTAGAGGACAAGTTGGGTTTCAAAAAAAAGATGATTTTGCATTGAAGCTGTCAACCCAAAATGGGTAAACCACAAAATTGGTTCAAGTATTGATTCCTCCAAGTTTTCCTGATTATCTAATTGTTCTTGAATTGTAATTACCGGACAAAATATAATTTGACTTGCAATTGAATCTCGGTTAATCAGCTGTTTGGTGCAATGAAACTTCAATCTAATGTATTGAGGAAATCAGTTTGATAAGTTGAAAGGTTTAACGGGTTTATCATTAACAGAAACCTGAAGCTATATTTTAACCATTTTGTTTTGTTGATTAAATCAAACATCTTGTCAACATTGATGAAAATAATAACTGATCAAATGAAGGTTAATGTCAAAGTTAACTATTAGGTTGAGTTAATTTGATATGTATGTTAATTTGTTAACATGATTATCTGTAATGGTAACTTCAAGGTTTACAGGTAATAGTTATTGTTGAAAAGGTTTGATCTTTTTCAAATGATATACAAGCGTTGACCAGTGAATGCTAATAGCCATCAATTAAATGGTCAACAGTAATAACGTATCATAATATAAATTTAGTTATCACAATATCACTCTAATAACAATTATCCGTGAAATTGAAATGTAATATTAGCTGAGTTTTTCAGATTTTTACTTTGTTTTCTGATTCTCATTTTAATTCCAACATTTCCGTTAAACCAGTAAACTGAGTTACTAATGACAGGTCAATATTTTGGTTTAATTGTTGGCTAGTTTGAAAGGTTATTAAATCACAGGTAATCACATGAAAAACATCTTTCATTCTGAGCTTTTTTCTCCTTCCAAATTTAAGGTTTTCTTGAGATTTCAAAAATTGTTAAGATTGAAAAGTCAATAATCAAAAGAATGGTTTCAATGTTAAATGTTTAACTCTGATTGCTGGTTGATTGATTTGTTGTTAATTTTAACCATTTTATTTAACATCCATCAAAAATGTTTACATTGAATATCTTTTGTCTTGCTGAGTTGTTTATAAAAAGGATGAAATTCATTTTTTACTTCAAACACTCACACAAATCAAACTTGAGATTGTAACAAGATTATTATATCAACGCAACTAAATCAATACAATGATTTAAGATGACTGTTAAAATTGGTAAACAGTGAGTATCAGTGAATGTTACCTTCAAACTGGTTAACATTAAACAATTAACAAAAAAACCGTGGGATTGTAGTGTTTAATTTACCTGGTATGTCTTGTATTTATCATTATATTTGCAATAATAGCCAATTGATTGTTGTTTAAACATAGTAGTTTCAGTTTATCCCTTTGCGTTCAGATTGTTCAATATGAATCCATCCAGGAAAAGTCATTAGAGATCTAAAGGTGAGAGAGAAATAAGATATCAATGATCAATGAATAGATAGGTGTAATTATGAAGCTAAATTTGAATGGATAGGCTTTACATGACGTTTATCGAGCATCAAAGCAAGGCTTTGGATAACATCCGATTAACCTGATTTGGTGTTGCAACTGCATCTGAGAGATTTTGTTGAAAAATTTTATCATTGATGAGTAAATGGATTCCCATGTAATTTCACCAATCATGTAATCAATGCTTAAATTTGGAATATTTGTCGATTCCTGAGGTATTCTTAGATTTCGTGGGGCTTTTTAAGCTACTCAAATTAACAGGAAATATTTACACCGAGTTCCCATACAGCCTGGTATTGCTTTGCCTGGAATCTTTGGATACTTTGAAATGAAAGCCTTTTCCTTCACTACCAAAAGGGTGAGACAATTTAAAGAGTGATACACCTTTAGTAATACATCCGAAACAGTGTCAATAGTATGGTTAGATAGACGTTCATTGAGACAGCTGAAGTCCTAAAAAAGCTAAACATGGAAAAGTCTGAAAATAGGTAAAATTCACTCATCATCAGTTAATCGTTACCTTTTCTCTCCTTCTTTCTTTTCATCATTGCTTTCCTGTTCAAAGTACCGTAATTTTTTTGATTCACAATTGATTCTAGATGGATTGTCATTTAGGATTGATTCAGTCTCTCCAATCTCACGGGTGATTTAGCGACTCGCATGCTTATCGGTGTAACCTATAGATTAGAGAGAAAAATAAAGATGGTTGAATTACCTATTGTTTACATGAAACCCATTAAATCTGATTGAACAGTTTAGTCGGCAGCAAAAATCAGAAGTAACAAACCTGAAAAAAATCTATATCTTTAGGTGACTTGAGGTAGATACATTTGATTAATTTAGATTGATAGTATCAGTTATAGTTGTAAAAGTATCGTCTTGAGATAGCTTAATGAGAAATGACACTGTTTTCATTAAATAATACGCAATAATTACCATAGGCAGTGGGACATTGATCCATAATTTGGTAGCTTTCCTTCCATAAATAGATAGACACCAAGTCAGCTGAAGAGTCGATAAAAGATTAAGCTTTAAGTTGTTTACCTGGAAATTAGATTTCTTATTTACTTCCTTGAATAATTATTGAATACTAGATAAAACCAATATTGACCTAAAATCCGGCACAATTCAAATAGTAAATTAATTAAATTACTTCTATATGACACAACATTACACTTTGAACTTGACCAATCGCGGTTTAGCTCAAAAAGCATAAAGCCGCAAAACAAAGAGCATTTTGCATAAATGGCACTGACATTCAAATATTTGAATAAGAGACAGTTACCGAGAATAAGTTACCTTTGCAATGTTGATTGTAAGATACAAGTTTGATAAAAAAACTAATTGTTTAATAAAAACAGTTGATTTTTAGTTAATTAAATTAAAGTTTGTGTCTCTGAATGGAAGTGAAGGGTAAATCAAGATTTGTATAACTGTATTTTTACCCTTTTTCAATGATCCATTTTGTTTTCTCTTATCCTTTTCAACTTTGTTTTTGTTTTGTTGAAATCAATTTACATCGCCATTGTACTGTTTAATTAATGTGCTAATTTAATTAAAATAAATTGAATTGTGTCTCTATTTAATCTATTCAAATCAAATGTTTAGCAAATTAGGTAAGTAAAGCTTTTCTTATATGATTGACAATAACTATCATTGCATGCTTTATTGATGTGACTCACATTCAAACCGATTGCTTTTCTTGTACCAATGCTGATTGGCAATTTACCGTTGCACAATTCAATTCATCAGAATGACATTGTTGATATTGATTTCAGTTGGTTGAGACATCAAGCTAATTTTATTGGCGAATCTATGAAATCAATTAAATAACGATTCATCTATATTTTTATTGAACATATGACGGTAGCTCATAAACCTATGGTGATAACTCATATGAAGGATGAGCAAGAAGCTTCATTCAGTACTCTTGATTGCTAATTAAAAGGCCAATGTAAGTTAGTTATTGAGTTAATTGGTACACAACATCTACTAACATTTTTCCCTTTTTATACCATAGAGGTTACATTTCAAACACGAGACTGGTCGCTGGATTACTGCTTTCAATGAGCCTTGGAAAATTACAATAACTCTTTAACATCAATTGAGGATCAATCCATATGAAAGATGGCTTTATAATCATCATTAAAGGGCCAGGAAAACGGTCCAACAAGAGCATTTCAATTGAGCTTGTGCATTCCGTTCATTGAGGCTTATCGGACAATAGAAATTACACCAATTTACTGGATCCTTTGTTTTGTGCTGTAAAGTAATGCTTATAATTGGGAAAAATATCTGACAAAATATTCTCCATTTCCTGATTGTTTTTAAATTGGTAATCTTTGTTCAACAAGAATCAAGGGAAAACTATGGTGGCTTGGAGCACATTTTAGACTGAATAGGATGAGATTTTTCAACCTGACTAACGCTCTTTTATTTTAACCATTCTTCTGTGGCAAGCACGACAACTATTCAGGATCACAATTGTCTATCTTACAGGATCATTGTAACATCAACTTACAAAAAGATTTCTATTCTCAACTTCAAGTTCCCTTGATTATCCAAGTCTCTTTCTCTCTTCATGAAGACCTCCAAACCATTTCTCATTTGGTATCGATGGTTTATCTCCACCTAAATCAATAGACAATAAATTCCTAGACAATTTTAGGATCCAGTTGAGAATGGCTGTTAGCTGAGAAAATTGACAAGACGATTTTTCCCTAGACAGTCAAGAAAATTACGAGACGTCAAGAAACCAGAAGTGGTATGATGAACCAAAATATAAATAGAGAGAATCAACAATCAAGGTAAGTATAAAACTGCAGAATTTTAACATTGTTTAGCTTAAACAATCTCAGACTTTCTAGCAAGATAAATGATGCAGCTGATGTTAGCAGTTGCTTGAAGAAAAATGAAAACGATGATGTTGCTGATGATGATGCCTACTCATCTCCTTTTAACCATCTTTCCAACCTTTTTGTATTTTTCTCATTTTCAAGTTAAGTCGGACCAACCTTGAGTTTTTTTTCATGTTAACTGGCCATTATAAAAAAAATGATTCGAGAGCCTCAACATACTTATCTTCTTTATCCTCTTATCGTCCCTGAAGAACTCAATGAATGGGCAAAATGGTGAAAAAAAAGATGCCCTCTACGTGCCAATTCAAGATTGAGACTGAATTCACCTCAGGCTTAGAGATGAAGGCTGACCAAGAAAAAGAAATAAAGAACTTTAAAGATCATAAGCAAGTTTGAGGCCAATAACACTGAGCTAGAGCGACCCGTTGATGGACCACTTTTATATGAGAGACTAAATTTAAACACCCGGTAACCTCAAACCTGTTTAAATTGTTGATTTCAAGCTTTAGTCAGCCATATTGGAATAAGTTTATGGAGATGAACATGCTAAAACAGTAATCATAATAATGAAAATTTCAACAACAAAGCTAATTCAACCAGTTATTCAATGTATCATCAGTTTTACCTGAATAAGGAAACTTTTACCTTCAACTTGAAAATCTGTTCAAAGTAATCCAGTTCTGATAGCTACTCTACCTTGCCAACTCAGTGAAACTTGTTCCTTTTTTGCTTTTGGCCTGACTATTGTACTATTTTTGACATTCCGAGTCTGAACATTGATATGGCAAAAAACGTTTACTCAAATTAACGATGACAACCTTAGCAAATGCAAACCAGATCTAAAAATATATATTGGAAATGATAGTCACACAATAAGATGGTGAATAAATGATAATTATCAATTTAATCAGAGGTCATGAACTGCAGAATAATCAAGGTGAAAATGGATGGTTGGTTAAGAGGCAGCATTTCAAGTTGATGTGATTACATAGAAAAGGACGGTTAAAGAATCAATTGAAAGTAAAAGTTAAATTGAATGGGCAACAACAAGCAAACCTATCTAATTGTAAATGTACCCAACATGATTGCCACTGGCTCTATGGAAATATAGTGATAAATTTTCAGCATTTGGAAAAGAAATGGGCAAATTTTGAAGCAACAATATTAAGCTAATTGAAAGATAATTGATAATTGAATTGAAACAAGTTTCCTTTTCTATCAGGAATCAACAATAGACTGAAAAACCTTGCCATCAATTGAATAAGCCATGGTTTTTTACGATTTTTTAATGGCAGACAAAATGAAGATAAGATTTGCAATAACATCGTTTAACTGGTAAAATTTAATTCACTCACTAATCGTTGATCAATTGGCTAGCAGTAAAATTTCAGGGAAAGGTAAAGAAAAGCGTGGCTAAACATTTTGAAACCTTGCGATTTCAATTATGAAAAAATATTGGTTGAAAAATTGTTAATCATAAAAACAGTCTCATATAAATATTAATAAAGGAAACCAGTAATGACAACAACAAGTAATAAAGTACAAGATTAATAGATAAAGACGGAAGTGTTATGGTAGGAATAACTTTGATAAGTGTAAATTCAATTTAGGCGCTTTTTTGACATAAAACAGTGCTGCTTATTGTTGGTGTTAAACGATGTCTTGTTGATCCTATCCTTTCATCACTATGTTTTGCTCCATTGATTATGAATCATCAAATGTCTTCTTTTTTGTCGTTTCTTCAACCAAATGGAAAAGGTTCACTGTTTGAGTGTATCTCGTCATCATCATCATCATCAGTATCACTATCATCGTTTTTCATCGTCTTCTTCTTACATTCTGTTTCTTGAATCTTCAAGAAGATACGAGGTAAGGGCAAATGGTAATAATGGTGATTATGATGGTAAAGAAATGCTGCAATATAATCATTGTTCAACGATCCGTATTGATGTTAGAGGATAGAAATTAAAGTGTTTAAATCAAACCTTAACCTTTTTCTCAGCTAATTCATCCCTACGTTCATTTTTCCTCCTGTTTTGTTTTGCTAATCTGTATCCTTCACATTATTCAGGCACAATTTTCTTACGCTGAATCTCTTTTTCTCTCGTTTTTTTATCATATCTCTCTAGGTTTGAATTATACGTAAAAATTAACATAAACACACTTAAAGAGGTTTCAAGAGATGATCGCTATTTGATATTTGAGGCAATCTAACGGGAATAAATTGGTTGTGTCTCAGTTGATTATAATTTGAAAATGCAATGGATAATAACTGACTTTTGGTAACCTGATACTTGTATTAAAAACCATCCTTTGGTTAAATACAATGTAATGGCTAATGACATGGCCCAGGAAAATGATTAAAAGTACCAAAGGGCATTTGAAACAAGCTGTTTTTGCGTAACTTCATGGGTAATTGGAAATACATTTCCCAACCTATGCATTGAACAGACGAAAGGAAGAAGCACCGAATATCATTCTCATTTAGTTATCTAATAATGTAACTATTTTGGATCCATCTAACAGGATTGCTGAATTTAACTTTCTCTTTTCATTTACTCACTATATGACCGAAACTGTCAGAAGTCATCAACAACCATCAAGCTCAAATCAAAAAGCGTGGCAAGCCAACAAGAAACGTTGCTGTGCAACATGAACAGTAAAAAGAATCAGTCGGAACCTTCAAAATGATGATCACCATTAACAGTATCAACATTAAACTCACCACCATTACAATTATCCCATAAAAATGCCTTCAATTTCATTTCAACCAGTTTTTGTTACAATTTGGTAATAAAAGGTGTGAAAATTTTCATTACGAGGCAGTTACAATCAATAGAGTACAGTATTTCAGTCCACAGGTAAACAAGATTTCAAAATGAGCGTAAAAATGATTTTTCATCTATTTTTTCTTCTTTTTTGATGTCATTTAATTCAGGTCAATCACATTTAGAGAAGCTTGTTGATATTTTTTTCTTGAGAAATGAAAAGAGCTAAAGGAGAAAAGTTGTTCACCAATTGAATCTGTTATTCAATGTCATCATTGTTTTGCCTCAAATCCCATGAGAACTTTTACTTTCCAACTTTCCAGAATTGGTGAACTATCGTATTGTATCCGTCAGATGAGCTTATGTTGATGGTGAATCAAGATGAACCCTGTCATTTGAATTACATTTTAATATCGAGTCAAACATTTGGTAAATTAATAGACAAGGGAAATCTAATTCATCTTCTTCTTGATTAGTTATACCATTAGAAGTGATCAAGACTCAACTACTTAGCAAACACGGAAGCTGTTGAATGTTGGTAAATTCATGGTGATGAATCCATCTTGTATGTATTGCTTAATTGAACATGATAAACACAATAATAATGTAAAGATCATGTTAATAGTACATTAATAAGTCGGTAATAATTCAAGACGAGCTGAAGAAAAAAAGCTTCAATTTTGTTGAGAAAAAAAGAGATGAGGGGAAGGTTATCAAGAATGTGTTCAGTCTGGTTTGTCAAGTTGTCAGATAATGTTCCCTGTAATAATAATATCAACAAGGAAACCTGACCCTGCCAATCAACTTTTTATGTATATCAATATCGCGATATTTTGAGTTATCAAGCATACAAGGCTGATGAATGGTCATAAATAACGATACTTGTGTCTTCTTTTTGCTCTTTTACAGCTTTGAATAATAAATTTCTGTCTCTCTCTTTTCAGATCTTGAAACCACCCTGGAAAAGGAACGTGTTAACTCAAGGAATATCATCAGAGAAAGTAAAGTTAATTAAGAGAAGAGAGGCAAAAAACGCTGAAAGAAAATCAAGTTACAAGTTCGCTTAGAAAGTTTCAATTAGTGCAAATGTTGGACCATGAGAAAGACTCAATGATGGACAGTTTAGGTAGAGATGGGAAAAACAAGCAAGCAAATTGTAATGGATTGGTCGACGTTAAAAGGTTGCAACGTGGTCAAGGGTGGTGTTTGTTTAACATGAAAGCTCAAGCAAAGAAAAAAGAAGAAGAGAAAAGAAAGAAAGAAAAGAACAAGAAAAGCAAAATAAAGTTAACCCATCAGGGTTAGAAAGCAAAGAATCATGGCGACTAATGATTGCGTTGATGGTGAAGATGGCGATACGATGAGTAAACAAGTATTATATATAAAGATGATAGTGAGGGAGGTTGGGTTGTAAAGGGAATGATGATAAACTGGTTTTCCTCTACCTTACAAGCTGACACAAGGAACCAGTTAATGGGCTATGGTTATACTGGGTATTCAAGTTAACCATTTTTATTTATCTTTATCAAAACCAACCCTGTTTTGATTTCCTTTGCTGAACAGATTACATTTAAAAATCATAATCTTTCATCTCTCCTGATGATGGATTCAGCAGAAAAGTTACTATCTATTCAGAGGAGAGATGAAATGAAAAAATGTTTCAACAAAAAGCGCTTGTATTGTAATCATTTGTTATTTTCATAAATTATTCTGGTTTTTTTTGTACACTTTCATTGTATAAAGATGTACATTTATATCACTTGAATGGGAAAAGGTCAATGAAAAGGTTAACCATAGATTAACATTATCTACTTCAATATCAGCTATCACTTTCAACTATTGAATGGGAAGCTTTCAGTTGATTGAGACGACCAATTTACAAAGCTAATTTATTACATATGAAATAATATTGTTGTACAATTTATATAATGGTTGGTTGATTATTTTCATAGGCCTTGACAAAAAAATTGAACAATTAGAAACAATTACGCTAACATCATTATCATCCTCTTATGAATCCAGTAGGAGCCATTTTTTACCAACACACACTTTTTTCTGATTACCATTTTACATTAAACTGTGACTTTGCCAAATTATTGCAATACAGTTTCAACTTTGCAAATTTCCGGTCTCAATTTGTGTTCAATTGTTGATCAATTGATCAGTAAATAATGAAACAATTTACTATGGTTTATTGTTTTGTTTTCATCAACTCAATGTAAGCTTTGCCACAACAAAAGCCTTTTTTTGGGTTCAACAAAATTGATGATATAAAGGAACGGATTGACACTTAATTGTAATGGTTGGATAGCAAAAAATGCAAGGTTAGATGTTACAGTTAATCTTGCTTATAAACTAATTTGATCAACAATCAATTGAATAACCGAGAGATGAAAAAATAACACCTTTTTGTGGAGTTAATTTGGTAAAAATTGGACAAAAAAAAAGTAAACAAGAGTTGAGGTTGTTAAGGTTGTCACTTTCCCACTATTAACTGAAGGTTCGCAATTGACAAAAGAGATGAAACTAAATTTTAATCAGTCAACTTTCATGAAGGTGAATTGAAGGAAATTAAACAACTGCAACTGTTGATTACGGCAACAGTTGATTGTGGTGAGTTTAAGTGATCATCAAAAAGTGTCACCAGCAAACAGGACAAACAAAAAGCGAGCCAATTGTTGACTTTAAATTGACGGTAAATCAAAACAGAGTCAAGGTTGATCCTATTTCTTAATCATAATTAACAGGATAATAATAATGGGACAATTAAATAGATAAGCTGCTCAAATTGTCAGCTTACTTTCAGCTAATCTGGATGTTTAACATTAATTATTCAGGAATCCATTGCACCAACTGGATTCAGTGAAGGTTAATATGCAATTGTTACCATTAATTCAAAGCTTAAATTGTAAAAGATTGAATTGGAAATTTAATTTACCAGATTCAATTGACAAAACCAGAAAGTTGAGCTTTTAGGTTCAATTAGAGTTTATTTTATGTGAAAAATTAATGTTCAAAGATGTCGACTATTATTTTTTGTCAATAATGATTAGTTAATGACTTTGATTGTCCAATTTACAGTCATCATAATTTAATGTTGTTAGGTGATGAATGATGATAAATGCTGAAGGTTAACCCATTTTTTATTAATTTAGTTTTTAGTTTTTCTGGTTTATCAATCTTCCTAATCGGCTTAGACTGCATGCATTAATTGTAGCTGAATGGTTAAATGTTGTATAATTGTTCAGCTCCTTAACTATCAGATGGACGAGAAGACTGATTAACCTTGAAGATGATTAGTTAGTTAATAAACCATTTGGGAATATTAACTAGCAATAATGATAGATATTATATGTTAAGATACATTTTTCAATGAGTTTTCAATGAAATTTCATGGAAGTCTTTCAATGGTATTATTATTTGCATTGTACACTAATATTTTCAACCATTGTTATTGATTATGTTGTTGTATTTTTGTTAACCAATTGCTATTTTTGCCAGTTCCAATCAAATAAACTAATCATGTTTAGCAGTAAAACTGGAGAAACTCACATTTCAATGAGATATAAAGATTAGCTGTAAACTTGGGTTAACCTTGGTTGGATTAGATTAATCAACATGCACACATACAATTACAATGTATTTATATGCTAGTGAATAGGCTGGTGCAACTAGATAAGAAAAGGATTGAAATAAAACTGTGGAATTAAAAGTGATTCAATTGAATTAACTTATTTAGACACTTGAAGGCCTGCTGATTGAAAATGATTTCCGTATAATGGTTATTAATATGTCAAGAAATGATTGGTAACAGAAACAAGAAGCACAATAAAATCTGTTTAAGTGATGTTAGTTCGTTTGTCGTAATCATTGTAAATTATCAGAGCTTCTAAGTGGGTCATAACTCAATGAATCAAATGGATTAGAGTCAATTAAGATGAGGATAATGATGATGATGATGGCGGTGATGATAAAAGTAACAATAATGGCTAGAGGGACCTGGTTAATACCATAATGTCAACTTGCTACAATGAGTAGGTTCATTCAAATTGACAGAGAGATAGATGATGGTGAAATGTTGAAACTGTGTTGACGAAAAATACAACAGGCAATCAATTACAGAATTAAAAACCATTCTATCTATCTTAATAATTAGACAAAAAAGGCGAAATAATTAAGATTAAATGGAAACTATGAGGATCCTCAATAAAAAGCCTAAAGACTTGATAATATGCAACAGGTTATATCAAAAGGCTCAACAAGTTTATGATGATTTTTTCACACTTTCCTTGAACGGCAAAATTGTCCATCCATGAGAGTAGAACAAAGGTAATTTTAAATTTTCCAGCTACCTGTAAATTAAAATCAAATAAAACAATGGAAACTATTCACAATAAAACAAAAGATAATCAAACAAATTGAAACCAAAAAATATTTCAGATGTGATGAGTGTACTGCCATCTACTATCTGGTTTAGATACTTTATTTGAAACCATTTTTCTAACAATGAATCCTTATTTATTGGGTAAATGCAAGTTTGTTTACTTCCTTCAAGTGATAATAAATGATTTCCTGGTGAATTAGTTGAATTAAATAATGTTAACGATCAATATTAGTTTATTCAAGAAAATTTTGCAACTCCGATCCAGAGGTTTATATTGCTTTTCACCAAAGAAATGTTTCATTTCAACGCTCAATCTATTTTTATGAGTATTTTGATGGATTTGAAACTTACTTTCCGCTTCTGTTTACATAATTTCAAGTTTTTGATTATTCAATTTTAGCAAGGATTTTAACAGGTAAATGAGAAACCAATTTTGTCATAAAATTTTAAAATGTACCTAAAATGAGGAATCATTTATTAATTTCTTGTTAAACGGCGATAATTTATAGTACATAAACATGTCAATAAGGGATTGAGGAAATTAAATGTACATTTAATGTATATTAATGCCGTAAATTTACATTTAAATGGGATTTTGAAACGAAAATTTTGCGATTATTTGTGATTCGATTGTATCAAAGTAACATAAATCTATCATACAGCCTTGTAGGTCAATTAATTTCAAGATACGCTTGTAAGTTTGATTTTTTGATTTGTGGTCTTGACAGATCTTTATGAAAATTTAGTATTATAATGGTTATTAAATCATCAAAAAAGATCTAATATTTGGCAGTTATTTTGGTTGCTTTTTTGAACAATTAGAATTGTGTAGATTTCTTTGTACTGTGAAGGAATAATTCGTTATAACAAATCAAGACTGGTTCTTTTGGTTGTTTTATATCAACAGGGTAAAGAACGGGATTGCCATTACTTTGCACATCGTGAATTTGATAAATTTATACAATTTGCAGTTCCCAATCAAGAGCATCTCTGAAATTTGTTCAGAGTACGACCTGTAGTCGGGCTCTTGTTAAGATCAAAATTATGTATTGCAGCTACACTTTCAATAGATGAATCAGCCATCTATCTCACAATAAAATGAGCAAAAATACAGATTGCTCATCGTTTTTCCCCCCGCTAATAATGATTGAACCACCGAATAATACAAGCACTAATTGAACTGATTAGTTGGCTAAAACCCATTTCTATCCTTGGTTCTTAGCCATATAAATATGCGCTTTCCTTATAACCAGTGGCTAGGGTGAGAAATCCAATCCATTTCAAAGTTGTCTTTGAACAGATTTTTTTCGAAGGCCTCGTAGATTTGTTCCAAATCACTAGCAGGTTCATCTGAGTCCACCATGAATCCTGGTAATCTTAGAACATGAACTTTCGGTTCAAGTTGTAATCGTAAATCGTTATCCCTCATCTGTTGGATATTTGAAGCCAAAACTGTTCCATCTCTTCGCTTGACACCAATATCTTGTTCCCCATCAAGACCATCTCTTTGACCAAGTTCATTGACGAGAGCATCTTCATAAATTGTTACATCAGAAACTTCACTTTCAGTATTCAGACATGAAGTAAATTCAGTATCGGTGTCACTATCAATGTCACTTTTATCTTCCTCAATAGCAGTGTCCCCTTGCTCTACAGGCAAGATCGGATTTCCAGAACAAGGTTTTTGGTGGCATGTATTTTCGGATTCAGCTTGTTTTTGTGGTTCCACCAATTTAGGTTCACTTTTATTCAAAATATCAATCACAAGTCGAAAAGAATGTATAAAATCAGGAACAGCAGCTGTAAAATGTATACCGTCAAAGGTGAAGGCATTCATAGTATGTCTACGTCAATGGAAAAAATGAAAGTAAAATGGTTAATAGATGCAGTACAGCATGTAGTACAGAAAACCCACAATGAAAGTCGCCACCGTCAAGATTTGTATCTTAAAACCCGATTGGATCAGCGCAAAGCGACCGTCTTTTGTATACCAGGTTATTTAGAAATGACTTTACAACTTTTTTTGACCATAACTTCGCTCAGAGGTTATTTTTTGCGAAAATTTTTGTTGCCACATTGTTTATTTTATCTAACGTTTTGTATACTTTTGTAAATGTCCTGAAACTATGTGCATTACCAATGAATAGTTCATCTTCTTTGTCAGGTATCTAAAATTGTTATTACATTTGATCCATCTTAAAATGACGAGAATAATTTGATGCAATCACGATAAATTAGATTCAAGTAATTAAATTTATTTACAATTAGCCTACGGTACGTATTAATCACTCTTACCAGCCAAGGGATATGAATGCTTCAAAACCTATGAATGAAACATGAATGGTCTAGATGAAGATTCTATCTGAAAACGATTGATTAACTAAATGGTATGGACACATTCATATCCCTTGGCTAGTATGAGTTATTAACATGTAACAAATAACCCATCTAAAAAAATCTGCCCTCTTGTCAGAAAATGACCTTCAAGTATCATTTAGAGGTCAAATAGCGGATAAACCTTGAATGAGCTTAAGAGGCTTCAATCTGCTGAAGCTCATAGTTCAACCTAAGGTCTGTAGCATCATCTGTTCGCCAGTTATGACACAAACAGGTAGAAAAAATAAAAAACGCCCAGTATACTTGTAAGTGCCCTGAAATTGTGAAAGGATGCAGATCAAATACCTTTAAGAAGACACATACAAAATTGATATGAATGAGTTTAACCTGCACTTTTTACATTTTCACTCTTTTGGTACAAAATTGATCATTTTTAATAATGGAGGCTCCGATGGACAAGGTTTTAAAATTGATAATGAAGAACTGTCTACTTGCCCTGATGCCAATATCACATATTCAAATATTGAATCTAATCCGAATCTAATTAGTTTCATTTCATTAATGAGAAAAATCAATGATTTTATTAACAAACTGAATTGTAAGAAAAAAAACTTACTATTCCAACTCAAAGTTATACCCAAACAACTACCTGAAGACAGAATGATTAGCTAATCGTAAATTTTTTATATCCAATTAATTAGAATCAATTTATCTGAATCTATTAGACTTTTAGTTAAATTTTCATCAGTACATCTGCTTGAAGTCATATTAAAATCAAAAAAAGTGAAAATGAAATGTTTTCATTAAAAAACTTTTCATAGCTAAAATTCAATCTTCGTTAAATAATATAACATGAAAGTCTTTTTCAGACGAGGTCCAATGATTAAATTGACCAAACATCAACCAAGCTGCAATTTTTGCAGTCTAAGAAAATTAGCTCCAAATATCAGTTAGAGGTCATATTACCAAATGACCTTGAAATTCATAATCCATGGTCATTTACCGGTCAGAAATACACAGTATAAGTTTCGAGCCTGTAAGTACACAGGTTCGGGAGCTATAACTGCAAACAGCCTTAAGTTTTAGCTGAATAGCCCGGTATAACAATTAGCTTCTAATGCTAGAGGTCATATTACCAAATGACCTTGAAATTTTGTGCGATTGTGTTAGTGAATTGATTAATATCCAATGTAAGGCTAATATCAGCTTTGACAGATGCTTAAGTTTGCCTTAGGTTTGATTGGGATCCATTTAATGATTGATCCAAACACTTGATCCTTACTATTAATGTTCAATTCATTCAGATTTATAATGAACTGTATCAACGTCATAACCCGGAAAAGTTATAAGGACTCAGTTATTACGGTATCACAAAAAATTTAACAAATGTATTGATCAAGCAGTTGACGAGGTTTAAAAGTTGCATTTTCATTAGCCAATGATCAATTTCAACAATCACTTCATTTGAAAAGTGATTAAACAATGGTTAATAAGCTTATATGCATATGTAGTACAGAAAACCCGCAATGAAAGTCGCCTCCATCAAGATTTGTATCTTAAAACTCGATTGGACCAGCGCGAAGCGACCAGCTTTTGTAGACTTTTAATTGTACTGAAATTGTGTGCATTACCAATGAATAATTCATTTTTTTGTCAGGCATCTAAAATTGTTATTACATTTGATCTACCTTAAATTAGTGAGAATAATTTGTTAATAAATTGGATTCAAGTGATTAAATTTATTTACAAGTTTATGATACAAGTCATGATTTATGAAGATGAAAGTTGGCCTGATAATTGGCAAATGAAGATGATTAAAAAACTGATTTTTCTCATTAGAATTGCTTTTACAAAATAAATTTTACAGTAAATTAACATTGAAAAAGAGTTACATACTTTTTTTGCCAATTTCAACCTTCAATATCATTCGTCTAATGAAAAGCATTAGATTTTGTCGTTCAATGTAAATAGACTGAAATAATTTTTAATAATGATAAAATTTAAGATAATCTGGCAACATTTAACTTAATAAACTACGGATATGTTTGCATAACCATCTGAATTCATGGATAAGCTGAACGAAAACCTTGATCCTCATAAAGGGGATTTTTTATCAATCCTTTCTCAATATGAGAACATTCACCAAAATTACAATTAAGATGATTATGACAATGATTAAAGGGGCATGTCGTTCTATCTCTAATTCCTGGTTTCAGACCAAACTTGAAATTTGCCGTTGGTCCAATAATATAAGGGAAAATGTCTGATCTTTTGGTCAATTTATTTTTACTCCGACCAATTGAGCCTTCGGTTGTATTACTTGAACTATCAACATTTGATAATCTATCTAATAAACTGTTTTCCCGTTGGCCTCCTCCTCCGCTTCCTTCAAGTCCTCTAAACAGAGTAAATGCTGTAGACAAGGATTCAGCATAGGAACCATTTTTTGGAGGTAAAATGCCATATTTTTGAATGGTATAAATGATTGGTCCAAAGATACCAAAAAGAGACGCAGAAGCCATCAGAATCATTGCTAGTGATGTTATTATATCCCGATAAATGGCATAATTTTCCAAATTTAGACGATTACTTGTTAATCGAGGATTTGCTTGTTGGTCAGTCAATGATAAATTGGATGATCCAGTTTCAGGAGATTCAGTAAGATTGTCAACAAGAATAACGGAAAACATGTAAACTGGAAATATAATTGTACTTGTAATGAAGATATGTTTGCCATCCTTAAATGCAAATGGTTGATGACGAGCTGACCAAGAGACCATGATTAATAATGTGCTAATCAAAATTAAATAAGATTGAGATAATATGTAGTCCTTAGAATTGGGTGAACACTCTTTAGGTAGACGATAAAGAGCATCATTAGACCATGGAGATTCATATCTAGAAATAAAGAGTAGAACGAAAATTAGCTTTAATTTAAATAATGTTGTAATAGCAAGAAACATTATCATCTTCATTGATTGTGTTGATCAAAGAGTGATTTAAGTTAGCGCTTAAAGTTAAATTGAATAGACACTGATTTAAAAATAGCTTTGACTTTTATAGTTACAATTAATAAATAACTACTCTTATGCCCGTCTAAATATGCTTTTTGATTCGAGTAATTGTTTACTGAATATAATTAGTATTCAGACTGATATCTAAGGTGTGTTTAAGGGTTAAGAAAATAAATATATTAACTGATCTACTAATTACATATAAATGTTTACAATTTATTTATATATATTTAATTTTTGTCACTTTGTAAGTGAGCGACTTTCGCTAAGTGTGTGTTTAAGGTGTTTGGGTATTTTTTTGATAAATGGTTAGTTGAATAAATTGTCTTGAAAAGTAATATAAGGTTCAAAGTAATTTACAATTTAACCAACCGGATAAATACTATAATCAGCATGTAAATGATTAACATCTCACTGTTTAACTAAATCTATTAATTGTAAACAGTAGTAACATCATTTCACCCACAACACATAAAGATAACTATCAATATTTTATGCTCAATTCATCATTATGTTTAAACTCTTTTGTATGCTTATATTCACAATTAAACCTGATTTAGTATTGTAATGGTTAACAGAATCATTTTGTTCAATCATTAAATAATAGTAAACTCTACCAATTCAATGTTAATAATGATTATTGATTCAACGCAGTTTAAAAATGATCAACTTTCAACGTGAAATTGTTTTTTACATTCAAGATGTAAAATTTTTTCTTGTTGTCACCTTAATTCAATTGATAATTGTCAAATTTTCATTTATAAAGCTCAACACACATATTAATAAAATCAGTTCATACCAACTGAACACGGTTCAATCTTATGTACGGGGAGCTTTTAAAATGAGTAATTCAAATTGAATTAGCTCAATATCAAGGTTATCTTAGGCCTGAAGCTTGGAATTCAAAAGCTATGTGAATGAATAGAATTATCAAAGTCAAAAATATCTAAATTCATACTGCAGTTCAATCTGAATTTGTATCGAAGATAGAAAGCATTTCAAACTTGTATGATGATGGCGTTGTGACTTACTCTTCATCATATTCACCTTTATCTTTGACTTTTTCATTTCTAAAAAGCTCTCATTTCACTTGATTACACTTTTGACACTAACAGGTAATCAACCAAAGCCAAAAATGAGAAACCACAAAACCAAAAAAACCAGAAACTACTCTAACATAACATAACTAGTTGGCTTCATCATTGAGATTTCAACAAATCATTATTTGAATGTTGAATCAATTTTTCCTAAAGATCAAGGTTTCATGAACAATCAGAATTGTGGTCATTAATTTGTATTGAAAAGCACAATGTTTGCTTAATTTTGCATAATTCAATACTTTAATATTTCACGGTATTTAGTTGATTGTGAGGTTAAGTTTAATTCCAGTAAAAGTGATAAATTTAAGAAAATCTAATCGATTGAGGTTTTCAAGTAAAAGGAAATATCCAAATGACAAATTGCCCGTGAAAACAGTTGACTAACAATGCAATCTGTGTCATTGTGTTTCTATTAATGGATTGATTTTATCAATTTAAACTGCTTCATTTCATTCTGGTAATCATAAATAAATTTGATTAATGGTAGGCTGAATGTTTCAATATTTTTTAAACAGATTGAGGCAAATGACGAAAAAATAATCATGTCAATTGCAGCAAAAAAAGTAGTCTTGAAAAGTGTTAAATCAGCCTTTAAAACGATTCACTGAATCAATAGGTAAAATGATTTACCAAAATGAAAAAGTGAGAGATGAAATGATGAGTTAAATGATGGAAAAAGGACTAAAATGTGATAATCTATTAACTTAACAATAAATCACAAGAAGCTACAAAAATAAGTGTTAAAATTGCAGCCGCTTCAAATCGATCCTAATTTTAAATTCTCGATAATACGCTCTTTGAACACTTTGATGAGGATAGCAATGATTGTTTGATGATCAGGGTTTTGTTCATCAATTTTTGCTTATCAACTTACGCCCAACGTTGCATTTCCAGAGCTAATTGAATTCCAATGATAAAAAGCAAGGTTAAACATTGATTTAGTTTAGATATTTTTCCGCCAAGACCAATCCACTTTTGAGCTCGCAAATACATTCCACGTTGAAGTAGACTGCCAAATAACATTGTACAAGATATATTATGGATGCTTGTCCGCAATGAGCACATCAATATTGTTGGTGGAAATACATATCTAATTGAAAAAGCGACAAAAATATTGTTATTAAACATTTGATTTAAACTATCAATGGATATTAAGGGAACTTACAAAATAGCACCAAAGTAAACAATGATGATTGATAGTATGTGAAAGGTGGCCAAATCTTGATTTGATTTTTTAAATGCTCCTTCACATGATTTCATCAAAATGTATGTAAAGGTATAAAGAGCAATCAAGATGCCAATTACATTGAGAGAAATGATTGTTACTGTCCAAGAGTGGCCTAACCACGAATAAAATGAAGAGTAACGTTTTCTCACTATTTCATCATTTGCCAATGATAATCTATTTGTACGAACAATTGAATTTCTTTCAATCATTTGTTTACTGTTAACACCGGGTGAAGATGTTCCAGATTCAATGGGTCGATGTTGATTTCCGATTGTCTTTTCAGTAGCTGATTTCATTTCATTTCTGGTATCAATTCCTGAAGACATGGGCTTCAATCTCAAAACATAATCAGAGGGTAAAGGCTTGATAAAAGGTCGACCATAAGATGGTAGCTGACTTGAAGGTGAATCGGAAAGATTATTACTTGAAACTTCTTTATCATCAACAACCAAAGAAGCAGGTATACTATTTGAATTGGGTGATTCTGATTCAAAAAACTCTTCATCTCGAGAAACTGACTTGAATTGATCTCCAGTTGACTTTGATGAACCTCCAGACTGTCTTGCTTCACGGTTAAATAAAACTCCATCCTCAAAATAGCCCATGTCCATTATTTGGCAGTTTGATGTGATAGCCTTTAGTCCATAACGATTACTAACTAAATAGTGTTCATCATCATAATGCAATTTAAAGCCATTAAGCGAAGCAAATCCAGAATCATTGATTGTCCCATTAATTGACATTAACTCGGATTGAATAAGATTAACTAGAGAAACTCCCTGAGACGGTGAACAATCGTAGGATGGACCTTTAAGTGTACAATATTTACGTTCATATGATCGCAATGCCAATCCATAAGACCAGACAGATTTAATCATTGATGAAAAGAGATAATGAGAAGAGGAAAAGGTTGATGAGGAGGAATCATTGGGTGATGATGATGATGATGGTGTAAATGTTGCCGACTCCAAAAGCTCACGAAATAAAGGATCAATAGAGTCACCCATTGAGGATAATTCAGCTGATAGGAAATCATGAAGCTCTGGAGTTGATTCATGTTGAGGTAAAATGAGATACAAAGGTTTTGTGTGGCAACCAGATGATTCTTTTGAGCTGTAAAGGTGTGCAATTTGAGCTGAAATATCTTGACTTGTGACAACAATCCAATCAAAGTCTTCCGAATCGGGAGGAACCACCGTTTTTAGACTAGAAAAGAGCTTCAGTGTTTCCTCTGAACTTAAAAAGAGTATCGTATTTTTAACATTTGCCTGTTGAAGAAAAGATGGAAAACAAAGAAAAGGTTAATAAATAGCAAATTTAGTTCAGTTAATTAGTTGGAAAAGGCAAGATAATACAGTTTCGATAGAAGTTTATTTGCTTCATTAACCTGGCAAAGTAAAGGTTGAAAACCAAACCAAACAAGGAACAAATAAAAAAGGATTTTTGCCTAAAAAATTCAAGTTAAAGTTGAAACCAAAATGTGTTCAAGTGATAACTGGTTGAATGCCAACAGTTCCGTTGAAAAGATGGTCAAATTGTCGATTAAATTGAGTATTTCTTAATCATTTTGATACCTGATAGTTGAAAAGTCAATTCAACTCTTGTTATAAATGAATTATTCATTATCAATTTACAATCAACGATTTGATCACAATCAATGGATTTAAGGTCAACCAGTGAAAATGTGACTAACTGCGTATTTTGCTCGTGAACTTTAAATTAAAACAACGATCAACAATCAAATGTAAAAGTGATTAAGAGTTGGGTTACAAAAGGTAATGCAATTGAAAGTAACATTTCCATTGAAAGCAATAACTTTAAATATACACAAAATTAGAGGATGAAAGTTGACTCGACAATCAAGTTAATTTAGTTCAAAAAGGCTCTTCACTTTTGATGGGAAACTTTAATCACTTTTAACAAGCAACAAACCAATTTAAGGGTTAACTCAATTAGCATTCTGATAATAGACTAATCAAGACGACAATAATCAATCAATCAATTGAATGGGCAAATTTTTTCAAGCAAAACATTTCCTTATTTGAATATCTTATTGTATTGTTTAAATATTATCATTTTACCAACTCAATCACTGATTGATGAGTCTGTAAAATTAATCAACAAAATTTGTAAACAATAAACTAATGATTTATAATATCAAATTGTTTGCTTTCAATGAAATCCAATTGAATTGAAGTTGATTTGAAGTATTGATTTGAATAATTGAAATTGGATATTTTCAGAAATTGTGTTTCAATGAACATTGAAAATGTGTTTACATATCCAATGTTTACCTTTTCAAGTTGAGCAAATAATTTCCAGGAAAAATGTATTCAATTTAAAATTTGAAATCAAAGTCATCATTAGATAAATATTTGAATATATTGAACATTCAATATCAATAGGAAGTGAATAATTTCCGTGAACAGTGAAAAGCAAAACGGAAAACAAATTGTTAGTTGAATTACAATGAAAAGTGTATAACACTTTCAATTTGAAACTAAATTGTGATTTGATGGTAAAGGCGAGACAATTGATTGCATCCAACCAGACTGGTGCAACCTTTTAATAGCACCAACAATTGTATGGAAAATAGCATTTCAAAGTTCATTAATATATTAATAGATTGGATAAATTAATAATCAGTTAAAGATGACAGAAAGGAAAAGGTTGCAGTAAACATAATTTGTAAGGTTAATTGGAAAGGTTGACTGGAATTTGGAATAATTTATATTCGGGTAAATCAGCTAATGGTGTTAGTATATTGTTACACACCTTATTGGTTGAGTCTCGTTTGTTTGCTTCATTTGGGTAATCAACTGTTGATTCAATTGGTGAATTTTGTACGTTAAATCTAACTTTAGTGGCAATATCTTCCAATACTTTGGTATAATAGAGAGGAACCTCATCCGACACAACCAGAGTGGCCTGAGACCAGTTTAGCTTGTTCAACAGTCCCATAACGGCTTTGGACAGATATTTCAATGAAGAGGCAACAGTGAATAAAGTGGTTCCCGGTATTTCCATAGGATCTTGTTCCTGGGTTGTTATGATAGGAACTTGGAAGCTGGTGAAAAGGTTCAATGTTGATCGATACAATTTTCCAGAAGAAATGGCTCCTAATCAAGAAATAAAAATAGATTCAATTAATTTCTGATATTTACATGAACAATGAATGATATTAAATTGTAATGGTAGATAAAAAACAACCAAAAACCAGCAATTTGGATTAAAGGCAATAAATTTTCACTTCTTCAGTTTTATTGTAATTTTAATGGGTTTTGAATGTTAGAAAGTGTAATTGGTTGAAATGAAAGTTTCAATTTAAAACCTCAATTGAAATAACATGGATCTGGATAATTAATTAACAGTGAAGATTAACGGTTTCTTTTCATGATACCCAATTTACCGGAAGAATTAGATATTACAGAATCATCATTATCATCGGCGTCATTAAAGCATCAAGAATCAACATTATTATAATCATCATCATCATTATCACCACCAACAATATGGACAATTAAACTTTCATCATTTCTTTAGCTACTTAAACAAAAGTGTTCAAATGTGTATGAGTTTAGAAATGCGAATTTGTAATAATTTTTTTGCATCTTTTTAACTGAAAGATACGAAATGGTGATTATTATCATGTTGATGATGATATATGATGAACTTTAATGATGGGAATGACTTTACTAAATAATAATAGTGAGTGAAGAGCTGCGATTGTTGGGTGTTATAATAACAATTCAATGTGAACGGCAAGACTGAGGTTAATAATAGCAAGTATTAAAAGTTTCAAAATTGTTGACAACAGGTTTAATAAAAGGATTGTAAAGAAAGATCAAGATGATAATAATTATGATGGACAAGAGAAGAGTTGAATAGAAATTATTGGACATTTAGATTTGACCAAGTTACGTTGTCCACTGTTAAACCTAAATGTTATTTTTTAATTGAATAGCTTTGTGTCAAAAGTATTCATGATGATGATAATTATGGCGAGGATGAAGTGTAGGTTAAAACAATTGAAAATGATGGCTTTTCAGTGAGACAACTGAAAGTAATTTTACTTTTAACCATTTTTGGTGATCTTTAATAGATTGACCTCAATTGGGCATTTAACTTTTTTTAGCATTCTTATTTGTCTTTGGTCACTTTCAGTAGTTTGACTGATTACTTGAATTGTACTGAATAGAAACAGTTAATGACTAATACTGATTGTTGTAATGTTATTGTTGGTTTTTTTGTTGAAGTGGAATTTTCAAAATTATTGTTTTGAGTTCACAAGACAAACATGGGTTGCTTTTTGTTGGTTTTTGATTGATTTTTTACCTTGTATCATTTACTTACCTATTAATGGTGATTCTCTGTCTTTAAGACAAGTTTTTGATTGAATATCATCGAGATGAGATAATATTCTGACTGTTTGTCTCTCGGAAATAGATTCATCTGAACATGTATCATAAAGATATAATCCTAATTTGAGTTGACTTGCATTTTGGTTAACATTAATTTGATGGATTGCCCATATAGCCGCCATTGCACTTCGGACAGCAGATAGATTAACTTGATCACTACATTGTCCAGGTGTAAGAGATTGGTGTGAATTGATGAGAAGGGCGACATTTAAATCTCCTGGATAAACAATTAGACGAGGATCATTGAGAGGTTTGCGTTTAGGTGAATTTGAATGAGCTGTAAAGGGTGTTGAAGTAGGGACAAAAGATGGTGATGAAGATGAAAATGAGGGTTCTGATGGTGTTGGTGGGGTTAACAAAGGTGATGGCAGTGAAGTTGATGAGGTATCTATTGTTGTGGACAGAGATGAAGGTGCGGATGATGTTTGACGATAACGACGATAGGAGTGACCATGATAATCATCTGGTGGCAATACCTCGGACAATGTTAATGTGAATAAGGCACTTAATAAAATCCATTGAAGGTAAAGGAACACTACTAAACCAATTTGATCATTGATACCAAAAAATTTATTGCTAGGTTTCTGGTTAAGCCTGGTGGCAGGAAAAACGGCAAATGGATTGATCATATCCACGGTTGTCTCATATCATCTGATCAACATAATTAAACTGGTTAAACAAAACAAATTGGTAACAAAAACTGCGACAGATTGGCGTCAAAATTTATCTTAATCCTTTGTAATTTACCGAAGATTTGGTAAAATTGAAACGATTGCTTTTAATTTTCCATTTTAACCGGTGAGTTGTGTGAGAACCAAACTTGCAAGATGTAATGTAGACACTTTTTCAACTGTTAACTTGATAAGGTGATTGACTAAAAGGGTGAAAAGAGGGAAAAAAGGAAAGCAAATTATTAAAAAAGGTAACAAAAGCAAACTAAATGTTGTTATAATGAAGATAGATCGGTTAGATGACCATAAAACATTAACATAATGCACTGTAGGATATAAAATACCAACATTAATTTAACGCCATTTGTTGAGAATTGAAAAAGCTTTATAAAGATGAGATTGAACTTTACTATTTTCATTTAAACAATATGAATATCTGACCAGAAGATGAAACAGAATAGGATAAGAATGATGATTTACTTGATGATCAAGATGATGGTAAAAGATGATAAAAGGGAGTTGAAGGGAGGAGAAGAGTTAAGAAAGCAAGAAGAAGTAAAAAAGATTGAAAATCATTGACAAGAAGCGACTTTGGTGAAAAATATAATTTTATATCATGTGAATTGAACGTTAATTCAAGGTGGATAACTTTTTCTCCACCCTAATCTCTCAAGGAAATTAAAAAGTGTTAATCTCTCTTCCTATTTCCCTATTGATTCAAGCGATTTAATTTGTAATCAAAGTCAGACTTGAACACACTATTAACATTTCACCTATTTTCAATGGGAAAATCATCGTCCAATCAATTGATTCAATGAATTTAAAACTAAATCAAGATTGTTCATTTGAGAAGTTAATTGTTTACCCTTGCATCTCTCATCCTATGTGAATCAAATTTAATCTGTAGGTAACTAATTAACTTTTTTCACAGTAAAATGTGTGAACTTAGTCAGTGTGTTATACCAAGAAAAGGTGAGGAATACCAGTTAACCAATTGATTTCATTACTGATTGATTTTTCTGGTTTACACCATTTTTTTGGGTTAAATTGCTCAAGTCAAGTTGATTACAAACAGTTAATTTAGACAAATCTATGGACTTTTTTGATTACATTGTTTAACCAGATTCAAGTGCAATTGATGCAACACTGATTGTAAGGCCAATAAACTGATCATTATTTTAATGAATAAACAAAAACGATGAAACAGTAATTTGATCAAGATGATGATTTTGAAGACGATGGTGAAGAAAGGGAAAGATGAAAAAATAAGGGCTGAGATTCACCATTGAGGTTTGATTGTTGGAAACTTCATCATTTCCTCAATCAAGACAACATGATGATGGCTAGGATGAACTTTTCTTATTCTTCTGGTTAACATGATAATGAATAAGATATTTTTCAATTGAAACCAGAGTTACAATGGTTAAAATAATCAACTGTTGGCGTTGAATTAACTTTTGCATGACCTTACACTATTACTTTGGGTTATTATACATGAAAGTTTCTCAACCGGACAGTCTTCATGTTTTAACATCAATTTTTGTTGCATTTTGTACCTTCAACAACCATGATCAACCTGGACTGTTTCTCATCCCCTTAGTTCATCATCTTTTCACCATCTTCATCTTAACCAGCAAAAAAGCTTCCCTGAATTTAGCCGAGACTTTTTTGTTCCGGTTTTACACAATTAAAACACAATGATTATAATGATAGTTTCATCATTTGGATGAGTTAATATAAAAGGCAAGCTTGTAATTGAAAGGAAGAAATTTAAAGATTGATTCTAACTTGAAAAATGTCAAGAAACTGACTTATTAATTGTTCAATTTGAGCAAAGATTTACATTGATTGAAGTCAACATTTAGATGATTTCAAAGGTTGAAATGTTTAAAACTAACAAACTGTTGAAAAATGATTTCAACTTGACTTTAGATGCTCATGTTGACATGAAAGATTACATCTGATTGCTGGTATTAATGTAAAGTACATTTTGATGAGATTTAGTGTCAATGATTGTATTGTTTCAATACAGTTTATCAAGTGAAAGTCTGATGAAAGTTGTCATAAAAAAATGCTATATTTGTTTACCTGTTTTTTGTTTGTCTTGTTATTTGCTAATTTGAGTTGAAAAAGGTAGACAAAAAGATGATCAAACATGAAGACAGAGAAAAGTTAAAACAATTGAATTGAACAATATAAGAATGTACAGGATTTAACAGTTTTATAATGATTATTGTAATGAAAAGATGGAAATAATGTGCAAAAAATAGTAAAGGTTGGAATGTTGGAAGAAAAAAGTTGCTATAATTTGAACGGTTTTGAACTTTTACTGATTCTTGGGAATTTGGTTTAAATTTAATTGGATAACATCATGACTAATAGTGAATGATTGAAGCATGGGAAATTGGTGGTTCCTATCATCACCATCACAATCAACTTATAGTTACGATCAGAATCAATGAGTTTCTTCCAAATTATTCTGTCAACTAGATAAGCTTAGAAATCATTATGTTTATGGGAAAATGAGCATAACAATCAGTTTCTAAGGGTTCAATCAGAATCAATTTAATTTGGTATACAGGTTGTAATTAGAATTGTTGCTGAGCAAAGTTGAGCAAATTTTATATTTAAATGTAACCTTAGTATAAAAGATTATAATTAATATCCAATATTATTTATAGAAACTTTTCTTAACCATGAGAGGTGAGAAAAAGTGAAATTGAACATTTTCAAATATTGTGTGAGAACAGGTGAAAATTGAAAGTTGTAACTGTTTGATGACAATTTAAGATGCTACAATGGTTCAGATTTATTGAAAATTTTTGAAACTCTGAAAGTTGACAGGACTATTGAAGCTTTTCAATTCAAAAAATTGAACCTAAAATGGAAAGTTGTTAAGAGAAATCAATAAATCTCATGATTGTTAACGATAATCATCTGTAAACATCAACTTTTCCTTTTCCTAAGCACTTTTTTACCAATTACTGTACGCAATGGGCTGCAAATGTTAATGTGTGTTAATGTTGTTACAGGGCCTTTTATCATCCCACTGAATCATAAGCACATTTTCATGACGACATTTTCCTTGAATTTAACAAAATTTAATCAAGACAAGATAACAAGCTGATAAATTGACTAATTAACACCAGTAAACACAAGACTTACCCTTAAAAATAATGTAACCAAATGCCGTTGAGGTTGTAATCCAGTTAAAGGTTGAGAAGTATAAAAGTGAAAGAAACAAACACAGATTTTGACAAGTCCATTTGGTTCACAAAAGCATCAACACACTGACCATTGAACACTTTAAACATAAGATGCATAAATAAATGTAAAAACCAACAGAAGAGAGGGAAAAATTCAATCGGTCAGAAGGGAAGAGAAGAGTAAATATTGGAACTTTTTAAAGCAGAATGACATAACCTTTCCTCACGTTGTTTAGCTTTGAAAATGATAAAATAAAAAAGGAGGGAGAAAGAGTAAGAAGAGGCAATAAAGAGATAGATGATGATAAATGAAGATAAATGATGATATGATGAACGATGACAAAGACGGCAAGAGTTGATATGTTGAAGCACATAAAAAAGCTTGTGACACAACAGTTCACATTACTGTGATTCAGCAGCAAGAAAAGCGCTACTTGCTACTGTTGCTCTCCCTTATCTTACCTCCAATCTTTCTGGTCTTTCCCTCCAAACTTTTCCACCTTTCCGTCTTTCTTATTTAGTCTTTCTATTTGCTTTTGTTTGTCTTTTATTGGGCATATTGCTCAGAATTGATTTACTTGATCATCATTATCTTTTACCTGGTTATCAGGGTTGATCACATCAATTAAATTGCTCTGTCAACCATTTTTGATTCGGTTATGCCTTAACTTTCCTGCCTTGCCTTCCAAAACCATGCCTGTACTTACCCTTTTACCTGTTCTTACCATTATAAAGGAATCATCTTTGAATCAAATTTTCTTTTCATTTCAACAATTGATTCTTCATCATCTCCAACTTCATCTCCTATCAAATCATCATCATGATAAAGGTAATATAATTTACATAATAACTTGGATTGAATCAATTGTCTGTTTGCTTTTTGCTTCTTCACCTTCATCTTTACTCATCACAAAAACTCAAGCCTCAACATGCATGTGCTCTAATAATGAGTTATCAAATTCAAATCAATCAAATGACTAAACAACAACTGGCCAACAATTTGCAATTACCCAAAGTCAAGGTTAGTTAATAGATGAATATATCAATGTTGATCAAAACCAAATAATAACCCAACAATGTCACCGAAAATAATCTCAGTCATCAACATTACCAGTAACCCAAATGAACCTATTAACCTTAACATAAGCAACAACAGCCTTATATTTAACCATCTGACGGTTGTAAGCTTTAGGTTTTGGATAATTGTGATTATTTTGGATGACAATCAACTGTAATCTGATTTACCAATGAGCTGATAAAATATGCTGATTAACTGTTGATTTATAAATCAAGAAAAGACACTGGAGGCAACCAATGATCCGTTGATTTGTACGTACCTTGAGTCAAGGTTGGACTTTATTTAAATTGAATTATTGGGCAAGGTTGAAATTAACAATCGACTATTAACTATGTTGACTTATCAATTGGATTTCAAGTTTAGAACAGGTTTAACAATTGTTTTGTCAATCATAACAATTTGCATGTAACCACTTACCCTGTTTACCTGTTAATTAAGACTCTGGTTAAACTAATTTTCACTGTTGTTCAACTGTCAATTGTAATTACACTTTCCGTTTGACAATTGACATGTGTTGACTAATTGTATTTCAATGCATTTTCACTTCATCACAACCAAATTAGATTAACATTGAAAAATTAATAAGTAGACAATCGATAAGTAAAAATGGCAAACAACCTTTTTTCTGGTTCAATTTGGGTTATTTTGGGTTTTTTTGTCAGCGACTTCCCTTTTACTCATAAAATCAAACATAAACATGTATTAATCAGATTGACCATTCTAGCTGTTCAACAATCAACAATACAATCGTGTCCATCTATTTGATCGACCCTGGTAATTGGATGGATTGACAGTTCTATAAAAAAATATCTACAATCAACAATGAAATGACAACAATTAATGAACTGCAAACATCTAAACAAAGGTAAAGATACTCTAATTGGAAGCAACTTGGATAAGGTTAATATCCCAAGGAATCAAGAGATTTAATTGTGAAACAATTTAACGATTAGAGTTTATGTTTCCAATAATCAGTCAATTAAAGGTCAGTATCATTGACTTGGTCGACTATGAAATCATTTAATAGATTTACGGTTGAAAGGATGATTGTTCAACAATTAACAAAGGCTTCAATGATTTCATTCGGAGAGTTCATTTGGATTGTATTTTCACTAGTTGGAAACAATCAACGGAATTATGTAGCAATTAAAATTATTAACTATGAAGGAAGAGCAATCAACATGAAAATCAAATGCAACTTGAAGCATTGATAAACATTGATATTAAACATTAAAAATCAAAAAAGCGTCCATTACAGTCAATTATTGAGAGCATTTGTGGTTGATTTACAATCAACTGTAGTTTTGATTGTCTTAATTAGCTCAATTTGTTTTACTTTTACATGTAAAGCACTTTGTTAATCACAAATTGTCGTTATGAACAAAATAATTGATCATAATCCACTTTTACAATTTCGAGTGTTCGCTTTCACTTGAAATCATTTGAAAATAATACAATTTTCATTAAACATGATTTGCTTGATTACTGATTGTAGATTTGGAAATTTTTGTTTTTCCAAATTTGAACAATAATTATACATTCGTTAGATTGATTAATCAGCTAATTACGGGTTCTTAAAAGGGTAATTTGGATCCGTCTAAACAAAACCAACACAGCTTCAGATTGAATGGGTAAAAGTGAAGTTTGCTGTAAATCCAATTATGCTTTAGATAGCTGACTCCTCTCTAGTCGTGTAAATTGAATAATAATAATTGTAATTGTAATTGACATATAATTTGAATTGAGTGAAAAAACAAAACAAATTAGTATGCTTTTTGTTTGATTTTGAAGCGAAAAACGAAAGACGTCAAGTTGAATCTTGCTCTGGTATGATGTCTATATTATCCAGCTATAACGGCGTTCCAATTGAATTAAAACAATAATATTACGACCTTGAGGGTTAATGCTGATGATGCTGATGATTGTATAAAAATTGTCAAAAATCAATTTATGATAATACAATAATGCTTATTTACCAATAAAAGGAAAAAATATATAAACTTGGATGACATTGATGCACGGTTAGATGAGTAAAGAGTTGCCTTTTTCTTGGTATCCACTGAGAAAGCTTTTCAGGTTAATTTCGCTTTTTTGTGTCGAGTGTTATTGTCTTTAACCAATTGTTTGCTCATTTTTCAGATTTTGGAATCACTATTTCCTGTCGATCAATTCCAATGGACCTCCATAACGCAATTATCATTATAAAGCCAAAATCCAAAAGGTGAAATGGTCATCAAAACCAGGATTGCTAGCATTTCGTTTCACTTGCCAAGATTATTGTGTCCAGGAAATCTGATGTAAATGTTAGATGAAATTCACTGTTGCCAACTGCGTTTTTTTATCTTGTCATTGTTAAAAATAAACCATTTTTTCAGGTAAAGAAACCAAACCTCCAATAAGGTTACTGTTAATGGGTACACCCGTCCTTGACCTCTCACCATCTGACCCTAGGCTATGACCTATTTGACTAATCCTTTTGTTTACTCTTTGAGTCCTCGTTGTGTCCCTCTTTTTCTTGGGTATATAAGCATGTACCTTTTGACCTTTAATTCACTTTCATTTTCTCAATAAACTATTTAAGTATCTCAATCTGAGATCTCAATTTGAGCTTTCATTCCTACTAACAGTTACATGGAGAGCAAACACCATTATGAGGAAAGAATGAGTACGTCATTTAGTCAATGAAACCACGTTATAACTGGATAATGTAACTTAAATGTAAAAATGAGTTAGACTTTTGTTTGTATTTTTGAAAGAAGAAACAAAAAATAAAAAAATTACTTCTGAAAAGCATTGATTATTCATATTATTTATTAATTATAATATAATTAGTTAAAAAATTGTAAATAATAAACACCAAACGATATTTGGTGGGAAAATGCGCTTGAAAGGAATTGCTTCTAGCACCGACTGTTGGTTGGGAAACAAACCAAAAATCGGCTCAAAATTAAATTAAAAATCCCATCATTAAGGAGTACAATCATTCCCTTCATAAGAAAACCTTTAAATAGCAAATTAGACTTATTTTAGAGCTGATCATAGAGTTTTGTCTTGATTTTGTCTGGTATGAAGGAAGTCGGTTATGAGACACTAGAATTCGAACACAAAAAGTCTGGTTTTTGAGTTAAAAGGTACGACTTTAAGGGTTTATATGAGCATAATCAAGGAATGCATATGCAATTGTTGAGAAAAGTTGAGTCTTTTTTACAGATAATCCTCTAAATATTTATTCTAAATGATTAACTCCGATTGAAAAGAGCTTTGAGCTACTAGGACTTATTCGGATGCTCTTAAATACTCTTTGAATCATTGGTATGCTTGCATAAAGTCCAATTTATAAAAGTCACAGCAAAAAAGCAACCGAACTTATTGCTATCCTTAGTAAAAAATATCGAGATAAACAGTTTATGATAGAAGCGCATTTAAGTTCTAGTCTTCCGAAGCTTTTGTACACTTTTGGCTGATGACTTTAAAAATGTAACTCCCAATTTTCATAAAATGATGAGCTTATTGTCCCAAGTAAAATTTTTTGTAGTAAGATATTTTATTAACAAGGATCAATGTGTGACTCTTGGTACGGACATTACGATTAGTAACATATGAGCACCAAGCTCAAGCAAAGTCTGTAACGAAAGAAATAAGAAAAAATTATTTCAGAATAACTTGCGAAACTGTTATATTTACCAATAATAAGCTTGATGAATTGAATCTGAAAAAATGGAAACATCGGAATCCCATCGGATAAGATTCCATCATGAACAAAGCTTCTTCCAGTTTAATCTTAAGAGCTGGTTTTATGATAGATCGAGTCAACAGTTTGTGGATATTATTACGAACCAATTGATCCTGAACATTGAAAGTTTGTTTAGTTCGAAAATAATTCAAGGTTAAATGATAATTAGACTTACCAATCGTTGTAAATAAATAAAGGCCAAAGACATTAAGATTATGTTAAGGGTTAAGTGAAGATTGAAGAATCCAAGAAACAGCATTCTAGTGGAAACTGGTGATTCTGGCGCTATGAAGGCTACATAAATGCAAACTAAACTTTCGAGAAATGTTCCTGAATAAAGGACACCAGACAATTTGGACATGAATTTGTTAGCTTCAAATGCTTCATTATAGATGTTTAGATAATGTTGAAAAAAGGTTCGCAATTGTGAGTAGTTTACTGTCTTTTTGGTCTTTAGGTTTCTCAAATATTTTAAGTTCAATTCGAGGGAATAATGCATTATGAAACCATAAGAAATGGCAAGAAATACTGACATCCTTACCAAATTAAAGGCATAAAAACAAGCGTATAGCGTCAGTATAGCACTTGGTACATTAGTGATCAAATCTGATGCTTGTTTAGACATGAAAATGGGCGATAGGGCAACAAATGTAGCACTTGGTATAATAACACATCGAGTGACAAACCATAAGAAAAGATAGACTCGATTCACTCGCTTTTTAATTACAGCCCATCGAGCTTTGACTGGATGTTGAACAAAATAATGATGATCTGGAAATGGTTCATTGTAATTACGAAGCCAGTAATACGATTTAACATGAGATGGATCCCAATGTGCCACATTATAAGCGACATTAATGTAAACGAATCCAATGACTCCATAAGCAAGTCCATAGTATCTGGATTCACCATAAAACAGAGACAGATCACCAAATCGTATGGCTGTTGGTATATCTAACCAGTAAAACCAGGCCACTTTAATTGCATTGATCCAACAGAAGATATCAAATATTAGGTTTATTATTGTTCGAGATTTAACAGGTTCAATGGAGGGAAGATGAAAACTGATCAAGTGAAGATGGGTCAAGTCATTTTCCAGGTCATACTCTAGTAGTCTGTTTGGGTCTGGAGTCCGGTAACTTTTGGGAATCAACATATAATTTAAAAACCGTTTAAAAACCATTTCTAATTGTCGACTTGAACATAGTTCCAAGAATGATGAGAAAATTTCTTATGCAAAGAAAGTATTGATTGTTACTCGAGCATAAAACATCAATAAATTGTGTCCTTTCCAATGACTGTTAGTATATGTGTATTTGACACAATATTACAAGTTAGCGTGCTTTATAATGACCTCAAGAGATGTTGCAATTAGTTCAAAGCTGCTTCATATGATTGATCATGAAATTTATTAAAATGCTTTCCAATATTTCTCGAAATACAAACATAGAAAGTACATAATACTTGGTAGGAAACCCATTTAAGAACAAATAACGAAAAAATTTGTTACAAGTTCAGATTCTGGAGTCCAAAAGTTGGTGTGCTTTTTAGGTCACGAAAATACATTAGCACACATCTTTGCAAACTGAAACTTGATAATGTAACTTCGAATGTATCATTTATATTAAAAATGAACCTTTTCAGGAAAATGATTGGGGCTTAAAGCTAAATATTAATAGCGATCAAAGCATGTCCTTTCGCTTTTTTGTGACTTACCGAGAAGAAATTCACAATTTCCAACAAGAAATCAGGACAGATCAAACTTTCCTCGAGTGATTAGCAATTACTTTACGAATAACATCGTCTAGTTTCTTCAAAAACTAGCAAACAAACCTAATAAAGTGTGATTTATATGATTGTTGTGCTTTTTAAACTCAAGCAGCTTTTTCGTTGAAAGAAGTGCGTACAGAAACTCTAGCTTTCGAGTTAAGAGTTAGAAATTTGTAGCTTTGAAGAGACATAAAGATTTTCAATTTATTTAATCTTTTAAAAAATTTCTCAGATGAACAGTTTTCGAGAAAATCGGAGTCGAAGCTGAAACTTCGATAGCCTTTTGTACTACTATTGAACCAGATTTTTTCATCATAATCAGTTCTCAAATGTAAATTTTGATAATCTACCAGAAAATGCATTCATTTTGAGGAATAAAATCTTCCGTTTCTTGTAAAACAGATCACTTCGACTTTCGGTTAAATGTGGCTATTTCTGTGACCGTTAGAGCTAGAAGGCTGAAACTCATTTCTAGTCGATAAAAAATTATTGGTACACATCTACGGTTGAAAACTTTTTTGGTTCTCCAACGGTTCTCTTGATATTGGCCATTGGCCTTAAAACTTTACACTTCGATATCTCAAAAGTTATGGCACCTACAAGCACTATCTTGCAGTTAATGCTAGGTTAAGCTTTTCTCCGTCTAGTAACACTGCTTTAAGGCCATCATTGCCTTGATTCTTCCGTAAATATTGCTAAGAAAACTAATAACGTGAATTTTATTTGATTGTTATCTTTGTTTATTCCCATAATTAAACAACGTTTCGTTCAAAGGAATGAGTACAAAATATCTTTCTTTCGAGTCAACGATTTGTAGAAATATGAAAATAGAGTCTATGAGCGCTATTGAAAATTTTCTCAGATTAGCCGCTTTCGAGATAATACAGGTCAAAGTTGAAACTTCGATAGCCTTTTTTCCGGTTATTGGACCAGATTTTTTCATCAAAATCAGTTTACTCGGCTAACTTTTGATGATCAACCAGAAAATTTACTTATTTAAGAAATAAAATTTTCTGTTTCTTGTACAATAGATCACTTCGATTTTCGGTTAAAACTCCCGTTTTCTGTAATCTTATGATTTAGAGAAATGAAACTCATTTTAAGGATATGACAACTGATGGAGTACATCAGCAAACGAACAATTTTAGCTGATCATCAACGGTTCTCTTGATTTTGGCCATTGGCCTTAAAACTTTGAACATCGATATTCTAAAAATGGTAGCATCTACAGTCACCATTCTTTCAACAATTATTAGATTTTATCATGGCTTATAGTATTACAAGGATGAATATCAGAAAAGATCTCATATAATTACTGTAATGACGAATCCTTACACATCATAAGATTTGTGTTTGAATAGCCTTTATAAACCAAGTATAAAATCTAACAGCATAAGTAATGCATTTAACTTTTCTCTGTATCATCTCCAATCATCTAATATTTCAATATAACATAGCCATAACTAAATTTACCTAATTAAACTAATCAATTGAGTAAGAAAATCTTCCCGTCTTCTAATTGAACTGATCTGTGGCTGGTATTAGATATATTAATGTTAAAATATTGATACTTTTCACCATTTATTGTTGCTAGTTGATCTGAGGCATGTTAGCCAAATTTGAACCTAAAAATCAAAAATTGATATTTCTTCGTCGTTTGATTGAACTACCCATAATGTAACACAATTTACGTGAACATTCATATTCACAGAATTGTCGATTGAATGGAAACACAATAATTTAGTAAAGATATTTAACTTTTATTAACAATTATGTATTAATTTGTGACTCTCGGTACAGACATTACAATAAGTAACATATGAGCACCAAGTTCAAGCAAAGTCTGTAATGGAAGAAATGAAAAAAAAACATTAATTCTAAATAAATATTGAATATTCTGTCATATTTACCAATAATAAGCTTGATGAATTGAATCTGAAAAAATGGAAACATCTGAATCCCATCGGATAAGCTTCCATCATAAACAAAGCCTCATCTAGCTTTATTTTAACTTCTGGCTTCATAACAGATCGAGCTAACAATTTGTGCATATTATTACGAACCAATTGATCCTGTAACATAAAAGTTGCAGTAAATTAAAGAGAAGTTGGAAGATGCTTTAAAGATAAATATAAACGACTTACCAATCGTTGGTAATAAATAAAGGCCAAAGACATAAAGACAATGTTGAGAGTCAAGTGAAGATTGGCGAACCCAAGAAACAAGACTCTGGTAAAAATGGGTGATTCTGGTGCTATGAAGGCTACATAAATACAAACTAAACTTTCAAGAAATGTCCCTGAATAAAGGACACCAGACAGTTTGGACATGAATTTGTTGGCTTCAAATGCTTCGTTGTAAATGTTTAGATAATGTTGAAAAAAGGTTCGTAGTTGTGAATAATGGACTGTCTTTTTGGTCTTAAGTTTCCTCAAATATTTCAAGTTCAATTCGAGGGAATAATGCATTATGAAACCATAAGAAATGCCGAGAAATACTGACATCCTTACCAAATTAAAGGCATAAAACCCAGCCCATAAACCCAAAAGTGAACTGGGAATGTTGGTTATATAATCAACGGCCTGTTCCACGAAGAAAATTGGCGATAAAAAGATTATAGTTGCCGAAGGTATAATGATGAAGCGAGTAACAACCCAAAGGAAAATGTAGACTTGATTCATTCGCTTTTTAATTACAGCCCATCGAGCTTTAACTGGATGTTGAACAAAATAATGATGATCTGGAAAGGGTTCATTGTAGTTACGAAGCCAATAATATGATTTAACATGAGATGGATCCCAATGTGCCACATTATAAGCGACATTGATGTAAACGAATCCAATGACTCCATAAGCAAGTCCATAGTATCTGGATTCACCATAAAACAGAGACAGATCACCAAATCGTATGGCTGTTGGTATATCTAACCAGTAAAACCAGGCCACTTTAATTGCATTGATCCAACAGAAGATATCAAATATTAGGTTGATTATTGTTCGAGATTTAACAGGTTCAATGGAGGGAAGATGAAAACTGATCAAGTGAAGATGGGTCAAGTCATTTTCCAGGTCATATTCTAGTAGTCTGTTTGGGTCTGGAGTCCGGTAACTTTTGGGAATCAACAGATAATTTAAAACTTGTTTAAAAATCATTTCTAATTGCTTTTATTGTAAAGGATTTTAAAGTTATTACGTTGAACAATAGACGAGCTTTGAATGAGCTTGAATTGAATAAATTTTGTTGTGCATCTACTAAGCAAATATTGTTATGAAAATGAAATATTCATGAAAATATTGAAACTATACAAATTTATTGCTTTATAATTGATTGCTATATCAGCTATCAACTCATGAATTTGTTTGCGATTATTCCAGTTGTATCAATATTAAACATTTATTTCGACAAATTTCTCTGTTTTTTGACTTTGCGTGTTCATAAATACTCTTGAGATGAGTGTCAATTATTGCTATTTTATTAAATAGAATACAAAATTTATTACTTTATTTTGAAAATGTAATGTTTACTTCAATTCATCATTCAGCATTCAACATTCATGCTAAGTAATCGTGATAATTGTCACTTAAAGGTAAACAAAAAACATATCAATAACAATGGGTCTAAAATTCATCTAAACATGTTAATTGAGGCTGCAGACTACGACTTTTCTTGTTAGACAATATGCGGCCAATATGGATTCAATGTATAGTTGCGAGTTGCTTTCATCATTTGCCAAGTCTTATGGCAATATCTTGAATAAAAATCAGCTTTTGAACTGGTACAAAAATGTTTAAAACTCAAAAAATTGCAGACTAACCAGACTGCACCCAATCCAGCAAACTCAAAATTTAGATGGTTTAGCTTCGATGGCTTTTTGTACAACTTGATATTTGTTCGTTAAACTGGATTTGCTTAAATAACTTTCAATGCATTTTCAGCATTCACATTGCAAATGGAACTTTTCATAGAAAGAAGGGCTTCAGATCCAGCGAAACATTAGTTGAGATAAACATGATCTTTCGATTTTGTTGTGACCTATCAACAAGAAATTGACAGTTTTCAACGAGCAATAAGGAGTAAACGAATCGTCAAGCTTTTCTGGATCAAGACACGATTGTTTTACGGACAAAGTTACCTAGATTCCTTCAAAACTATCAAAACAAGGCAAATAAAGCAAGATTTATATGATTGTTGTGCTTTTTGAACTCAAGAAGTCTTTTCACCCAAAGAAATGTGTACAGAAGATCTGGCTTTTAAGTTTAGAGTTAGAACTTTGTAGATTTGTAAAGACATGAAATGCAGCAATCTATTGAAGCTAGTAAAAAATGTCTCCGATCGACAGTTTTCGAGAAAATCGAGGTCGAAGCTTCAACTTTCATAGCCTTTTGTACAGTTATTGTACCTGATTTTTCCATCAAAATTATTTCTTTAATGTAACTTTACATGATCAATCAGAAAATTCCCTTATTTTGTGCAATGAAACTTTCCGTTTCTCGTAAAACAGATCACTTCGGTTTTGGGTTAAACCTGCTATCACTCCGACCATAAGAGTTAAGAAGTTGAAACTCATTTCTAGGCGATAAAAATTATTGGGTCACATCTGGGATTGAAAACTTTTATTGATTCATCAACGGTTCTCTTGATATTGGCCATTGGCCTTAAAACTTTGAGCGTCGATATCTTAAAAGTTATAGTCCCTAAAGTCACTATTCTAGAGTTAATGATAGGTCAAGATTTTCTAGATCAAGTAGCAACTGCATCAAGGAAGACATTGACTCAATTTTCGACTAAATATTGGTAACAAAAATAAGACGTGAATTTTATTTGATTGTTATCTTTGTTTATTCTCATAATTAAACAACGTTTCTTTCAAAGGAATGAGTAAAAAAAATCTTTCTTTCGAGTTAAAGATTTGTAGAGGTATGAAAACAGAGTCCATTAGTGCAATTAAAAATCTTCTCCGATTACCAGCTTTCGAGAAAATCGAGGTCAAAGTTGAAACTTTGATAGCCTTTTGTACAGTTAGTGAACCAGATTTTTTCATCAAAATAAGTTTGCCAAACTAACTTTTGATGATCAACCAGAAAATTTACTTATTTAAGAAATAAAATATTCGGGTTCTTGGAAAATAGATCACTTCGATCTTCGGTTAAAACTCCCGTTTTCTGTGATCTTAAGATTTAGAGAGCTGAAACTCATTTTTAGGCTATAAAAACTGTTTGAGTACATCAGCAAACGAACAATTGGTGCTAAACATCAACCGTTCTCTTGATTTTGACCATTGGCCTTAAAACTTTGAACATCGATATCTCAAAAGTTATAACACCTACAGTCGCCATTCTTTCAACAATTATTAGATTTTATTATGCTCATTAATATAATATAGCTAAATATAAGAGAAAATCTGACCTAATTGCTGCAATAGCTATTATAATATTCTGCAATAGCCAAGCTACCTTTATAATTCAATAATCAAATCTTACTACGTAACTAATACAATAACTTCTTTGTTCTGATCTTTATTGATATAAAATTTTAACATATTATAACACATTACATAAAATCTAATGATTGATCAAAGAATGATGATTGTAGGCGATTCTATTCTCGAAAAGTTTTAAGGCAAATGGCCAAAATCAAGAGAACTGTTGATAAATTCAAAAAAGTATCCAATTCATTATGTGTTACCAGCAATTCCCATTGACGAATAATAAGTCTCAGCTTTATAACTTTTAGGGTCACAGAATGTGGAAGGTTTACCTGAAAACCGAACTGACCCGTTTGACCTGGATTTTCTCGAAAACTTTCAATATGAGAAATTTTTTAATAGCACTAATAGATTTCAGCTTTATATAATATGTTTCTACTAACTTTTGTTTTAACTAAGTTGTAACTTTTAACTCAAATGTTCGCATTTTTCGCATTACTCTTTGAATTTTCTTCTTTCCTTCTCTAGCAAATTTAAATGAATTTTATAAAACAATTTATTGTTTAACAATTTATTTTATTGAGATCAAAGATTAGTTCACAAAACAGATTAGTATCAATGATTTGTCAGGTAATGTACGTTTCGGGTTCATTCTAGCAATCCATTAGGTTAACATGCTAGCATTTGGCAATAGATTCAATGATTTACTCTCGGCACAGCTAGTACAATCAGTAACATATGAGCACCAAGTTCAAGTAAAGTCTGTGATAAACCAAGAAAAAAATTAGAAATGCTGAAAAAGAGTTAGCACACTTTTGCCTTTACCAATAATAAGCTTGATGAATTGAATCTGAAAAAATGGAAACATCGGAATCCCATTGGATAAGATTCCATCATGAACAAAGCTTCTTCCAGTTTAATCTTAATGGCTGGTTTTATGATAGATCGAGTCAACAGTTTGTGGATGTTGTTACGAATCATTTGATCCTAGAAAGTGAAGAGGTCAAACAATTAAGACACCAAATGAAAAATAAAAACAGAAGGGATTGCAAAAAATAATGCCTATCGAACTGAATTCGGCATAATTAAAACGCAAGAATCAACATTAAATCAATAGTTGATAGAAATTAAATAACAATTTAAAAAGATAATCTTAAATATGTTGCCAAAAAGTGGCGGTATGGTTGCAACTATGGCGACTAAAGCACATGATACACATTTCTTAAATCACTTCACGTAACAATGATTATTGCTTTTTTGTTTTCTTACTAATTAACATTTCAAATTTTAATTTTTAATTTTTTTAATTTTGTTTGTGTGAGCTAAATTTGTTTATTTAATGGTTCCTCTGACCAGCTATCTTATTGTCTGCCTCAGTTGTTCAAATAAATCAGTTTTTCACTGGTTTGATCTAAGGTTCACTTTGACAAGTGTTAGATAATAATCTCAAGTTGTCATTGACCGTCATTCATGGATATTGGTTGTTCACAGATTTTCCTGCAAATATTCTGGATTAATACTTACCAATCGTTGAGGATAGATAAAAGTTAATGTAATTATGATTATGTTTAAAGTTACATGAACATTGAGAAGGCCAAGAAAGATTATTCTTGTTGATAATGGTGAAGGCGCTATAAAACTTACATACATACAAACCAGACTCTCGAGAAAAGTTCCAGAATAGAGGACGCCCGTTAATTTGGACATGAACTTATTAGCTTCAAAAGCTTCGTTATAAATGGCCAAATAATGGTGGAAAAATGTTTGAACTTGAGAATAAGCAATTGTTTTCCTGGTTTGCAGTTTACGGAGATGGTCAAGATTCAACTCTAGTGAATAGTGCATTATTAGACTGTAAGATATACCTAAGAAGACTGACATTCGTACCAGATTGTAGGCATAAAAACCAGCCCAACAAGCCAGGAACGCAGCTGGGACATTGGTTAATAAATCCATCGGATGATCAACCATAAACATTGGCGATAGATAGATGACCGTTGCTGCTGGTAGGACCAAAAAACGTGTAAATATCCACAAGTAAATGTATACCAAATTAATCAGTTTCCTTACTCTATTCCAGCGAGATCTGTTCAACATGTTAACATAATGGTGGTCAGACTGAAAGATTTGATTGTAATTACGGAACCAATGGAAACATTTACGCTGAAAGTGGTCAAAGTGGGCGATAAAGTAGGTTACATTGATGTATGTGAAACCAATGGCATCATAAGCCAGTCCATAATAACGGGATTCACCATAAAACAGGGACAAATCACCAAATCTTTTAGCCATTGGTATATCGATCCAATAAAACCAGACAACTTTGATTGAATTGATCCAGCAAAAGACATCAAAAATGATGTTGTTTACATGTCGGTGTCCAACTTTCTCGATGGATGGAAGCTTAAAATTAATCAAATGAAGGTTCGTTAAATCATCTTCAAGATCATAATTCAGCAATCTATTTGGATGTTGGTCCACTTTACGAGGTAACAAAAATGTAAACAACTTTTTAAGAATCATGATCATAAGCGTTAACAATAATTAATATTATTTAAATTTACAGGATCAATCAAATTCACATTATACACTCAAATTCACATTATACACTGGGAATCACCAAGAAATGACTGGAGCTAGACAAATAATGACAATGTATCGGAATAAATTTTGGACCTGTTGAAGTGAATTATCATCCATCGTCATCCCTTCATTTGGTTATTGATTGGTATTTAGAATCAACTAATTTAATTTGAATAAGAGTCAAATTGTGATCTATAGTTTACAGCTTCAAGTTGCATGTTTAGATCAAATGTTACCTCAAGAGTCTAAGTGCAAACAAATTAGACTACAATTGACATTTTGATTAGTCTTTCAGTCTTTTGAACATTTAGTGTGTCTGATTCTTGCTCAATACAATTTGATTATTGATTAACGGTTACATTTGATGGTGACTGACGATTATTATTGACTTATAACAGTTTAAACTTGATTAATGCCTTTTTCCCTTCAACATGAGCAATTTATTAATAAAAATGAAGCATTTTTATGAAAAAAAAGGAATAAAAAATCAATTTAAAATTACGATTAAAAGCATGATAAATGAAGAAAGCCAAGAGTGTAAACATTTTCTGATCAAATCAAAATGATTCAAAACAGTTTCCATTAATTCATTGATTTGAGTTCAGGATTAATTGGATTGATAGCATTGAAAAGCTAACTTCAAATCAACCAACAGTTGAATGGTTAATAAAGGTTTGTCTTGATCAGGTAATAGATAAAGACAAATCAAGATTAATTTACTTCAGCCTATAGCCATTCAATGTCAGATCAATCTAGAGGCAATCAAATTACCTTCAGTAAAAAATTTGTTTCAATCTTGAAGCAAATTTTTCCGTTTGAGTTAATTCAAGTCAGCTGATTAGAATGGTATAAAAGTAATTAAGACTGATTTAGATGATCAGTTGATCAACGTAATATCTCCCACTAACTATTAAAATCATGTGTGTTTAACTCTGTAAGCAAAAATATGACCCCCTAAATGTTATTGTTAACCAACACTTATAATTTTATTGATATTTCAATTTTTTATGATTCTCATCATTCATTATCAGAAATCAATGCGGCTCTAGATTGATCAGATTGCTGTTTACATGGGAAAGCTAATTAGCTATCAATTTACACTAACATTATCGTCACAAACCGGTTAAACCAATTAACAACCTTCATTTTATCAACCAACATCTGATAATCTGATTTGTTTTTCTTATCAAATAGGGATTCCCATGATTATTTTATTGTTTGTCGCTCCATTTGGTATTTTTACTTTGACACAAAACATCAAGCTCTTCAGTTGATCAGATAATGTTGTTGAAGTTGATTTGATAATAAGCAAATTTCAAATTCTAACTCAATATATTCCACAGTTCAATAATAACAACCACTTGAAATAGCCATTTTAGCTTAGGTTGGGTCTATTTTCATCTTTGAACTTACTTTCAGTTGTAATACGATCATTGTTTAGATTAAGCTGATAATATAATTAGTTTATTGGTTTATTTAGTTTGATGATCACTTGTAAATTAGACCAAATTGGCTGAAGTTGGTTGATCAAAAAATTGAAAGGATCCATAATTTGAAGAAACAATCAACATCTGGTTATACGAGTAGCGCTATCCTAAACAGTGGCAAAATAGTGAGTATCAATCTTTTGTTTATAAATCTTTATTTTTTGGTGATTGATTGAATCTTAATATTGTGGTTTTATTTAATTTTTACAGTGATTGAACTTGATTGTTTAGTGAAAAATGACGAATGGGGTAAACTAGGTTCATCGTCTTTTGTTGGTCAGTTGCTGAAATGTCAAAGAAGAACGGTCAACGAAACAACTCCATATGCAGCGGTAAGTTATACTGTTATGTGTACTAACTCTTTAGTGTTTATAGTTTATGTTGGTCAAGCCTTTTGATCGTAGTTATAATTTAATTTGATTTATCTCAACCTACATGTTGAATTAATCTTGTTTGCATTCTTATTAACAGTTATGGATGGGAGTTCATCAATCTGGACCGTCAAAAGTTATCGGGTTATCACCTGATTTTGATTCAAAGCCAATTGACTCTCTCTTAAAAGCTTGGCCTGAGTTTATTGGAAACATTGATATTGCCGCTAAATATGGCTTTAACTTACCAATCTTGGTTAAAATACTTTCGATTGGACATTCATTGCCACTCCAGATTAATTTAAGCACAAACAGTGGTTCCAAATCTTGCAAGATTATCCTCGCCTTAACTCCATCATCATTACTGTGTGGATTCAGACCTCACAACGAGATAATTAACAACCTAAAAAATTTTCAAGACTTGCGGTTATTGATAAACAGCTCTACTCTTACAAAGTACATTCAAAGCGTATCCGGAACGCAGGTTGAATCTTCTCAATCAAATGTCTATCTAATGCAGTGTTTCAATGAAGCCATCAGTAATTGTCAAGCTCAGAAGTCTATAGGTAAAGCTTTACTGGAATCAAGTGAAGCAATTGAAAGTACAAAGATCAATATAATTTTGAAAAGCCTGTCAGACAAAGGTCTTGATACCAAAAGTTTGGTGTCTTTATTTTTCCTCAACTACGTCAATTTGAATTGTGATCAAGCTGTCATCATTGAAGCTAATCAAGTTCATATGCTCCTTGATGGAAGTAAGTATTCGATTATGAAAAATGAAGAAACAAATTGCCCAATTTTGTCCTCTTTTGTTTCATGATGCATCAATCATATAAAAATGTTCCTATTTGTTCTATTTTTCATCTTTTAGACTACCTTGAAGTGTCCAATCCAAATGATAAAGTGATTAGTTCTGAAACAACCTTGGAAAACATAAGTGCATCGATTTGTGTCACGCAAGACTCACCAAAAATCGTAAATCCTACGTCTGTGGATGACTGTTCATACGTTTACTCACCCGAATCAAGCGACTGGACTGTTGAACTAATAAATGCCAATCAGTACAATGAACTTTCATGTCCCATTTACCAAGCATCGCCAACCTCCTCTGGTTCCTTCATCTTGTTCCTGGGTCCTACAGAGGCAATAGTCAATAACGTTTACCGCCTCAAACCAGGTCAAATATTTTTTGTTCCTCCAGGCTTACCATTGCGATTCACCCAATTGAGAGGAGCTTTCAGATTATTCCGTATTTCACTGAAATCTTGAATGGCAAAAAGTGACTAGACATCAATTTTTTTACTATTGTTCCTATTATTATTTGTTATATTTTATCTCTAACAATTTATTCGTTGTATATTTTGGACTGCTCTTTGAATTGATAAATTGTTATCATTGTAACGGATTCTATTATCATTTCAAACTAGACAATAAACACGAGCAAACAAAAGTGTTTTATTATCAAATTTAATAATATTCTTGGTAATTTGATCAGTACACTTTTAAGTAAATACTCGGTTCTTTTTTATCAATTCAATTTATTTTGATTATACAATTGATAATCTTCAAGTTTAAAAGTTAATGGATGACATTTTCACATTTTTACCCCAAAATTGAAATAATTATACTCTTTAACTTTTTCTTCTAGTCCTTTCCAGTGTAAAACTTACCATGTCCGGGTTTATGAGGCTCCCAATGAATCATGGATTCACCAGTTTCAGATGAAATATCGTTACACCCAGTCGACCTCAGATTAATCGATAAAGTTGTCAACTTAATCATCTGGCAAGAAAATTGTGATGACAATCAGTTAACTCCAAATGTTACATTAATTACAAGCTTGCTATTTGCTAATCCGGTTTTACCTTAACTACTATCTTCATCATCGATTTTATTGAGAGTTTCATGTTCCTGGTTAAGATTGGATTCCATTGATACCAACTGTTTGATGCAGAATATTTTGCATCATAATACAATTAGTGTTAATTTTTCGCATCTATTTTCATTATTCAACAGACTAATGTTAAATCATGTTAATCATTCACCGGATTAAACTCATCATATTGTGCATAATCTATTTTTCAACTGGTTTTGCAAGAGGTAAGTCAATCAATTCAGTTAAATTGTTAGTCGCCTTTTGTTTACCAATTATCTAACCATTAAACATTTGATTCTAAATTTCTTATTTGTTAGGAAGACCCGATGGACAAGTTAACCACGATAATGAAGACAAAGTTGGCGGTAATCATGACGGTGATAGTGATATTGACATGGATCTGATTAATTTCAGTGGAATAAGGAAAAATGATGAACATACGAGACACATTCTAGCCAATTTAATGGATCCAAATCCAGTTGATCCAAGTCACAATGGGTCTTTGATTATATCTGAGCGTTTAATTGCAAAAGAAATGACTGGTTTAACCAATAGATCTCAGGCCAATTTAATATCAACCACAACACCTTCAAGTCCAGATGAATTGACCAATTTTTACGCTGAATCAGGATCCATTAAAGGAGCTGATATTGAAATGATGAAGAAAACATTGGTTAAACTATTTTCAAAAGCTCGTAGTCATGAAGCAAATATAACCCACAAGGAATTGATTAGGAGTAAAATATTGGACAGGTTATCCTTGTTTACCAGTGAAACGTTTTGCCAAGAGTTCACTGGTAGAGACAAAAATGGAGCAATTGTGAAAGGTGTTAACATTATCGGAATACTTCCAGGTCGTTTACGAGGTGAACATGGTGAAGGTGTCATGGTTATAGGAGCTCATTATGATACTGTTGCAACATGTCCAGGAATGGATGACAATGGATCAGGAGCAATGGCAGTTCTTGAAAGTGCAAGAATACTTTCCTCTAAAATGGGTGATCTCAATCATACAATTATTTTTGTCACCTTTGATCTAGAAGAGCTCGGAGCTCTTGGCAGCATCGCCTTTGTCAACAATTATCTAATCCCGAAGGTTCTCAATTCAAACAATGTCAAATTTTTGGGTGCTTATATTATGGACATGATTCTCAATTATGACCCTTCAGTCAACGCTCAAGTATTACCGAGAGATATTTCAAGAGTAGGTTTCTTGTCGTAAAGTATTATTATTGTTATTATTATTTTTCACTGAATTTGTATCTAATTGAAATTTTGTTGTTCTAGGCTGCACCAGAAGCTGCTGATTGGGTTCGTCGAAATAATAATATGGGTGATTTTGTTGCCATTTGGACACGAAGGAAAGTTGATTGGCATCTCTGGTATACATTTGAACAATCCTTCAATGAGTTAACTGTGCCACCGGCTAATCACAAAATTCTGGTTATTGATCCACCGATTCCTCGAACACCCATTCTCTTTGATAATTATTTGTATCGTAATTTCATGAGAAGTGACCATGCATCATTCTGGAATCACAAGAGCCGAGCTTATAAAGAGACTCTACATGCAGTCCTCATTACAGATATGGGTAATTTAATTTTTACAAAAGCTGTTTAATCAATTCAGTTAAATATAATCATGATTTATTTATTTCTCAGGTCCATGGAGAGGTGTACAAAGAGCTTGCTATCACGAATTTTGTGACGATGAAAGTCAACTAACTACTTACAATTTAGAGTTTGTCAAACATATCATCGATGCTTTGGTTCGCACTGTTGTTACGTTCACTTCTTAACCTACAATAATCTTGGGAATCCATCACAGTATCTAACATTCATATAAGGCTAAATTAAATTATTTAATCGACTAAATTCAACCAATGCTGAGAATCAGCAAAGCAAATGACTTGCTAAGCAACATTTGGTCATTGTTTTTCCCCAAATACTTACTAATTATTAAAGTCATTTTGGAATTTTGGAGATGATTGTTACTTGATATAGTTTCAATGTCTTTAATCAACAAACCATCTATAAATAATCTGATGAGATTTTGTTTAATTGATCGAAAGGTGAACGCTATCTGAAATAGTAAGAATGGATGAAAGTCGTTTTGGACGAAAAAAAGATACGCTCTTAACTAGGCTATTGGTCACCAGTTAAAGTCGTTCGTGTATTGATCATGGTGATGTAAAGGATACAAAAAAAGATGTGTGTAAATGTACAAATAGATAATATCAACAAATAATAATAACGATAACAATAGCTGTAAAAAAGCAATTATGAACAAATATAACTACAAATGTAAATGAGATGTAACCAACGTCTTGTTGATAATGAAAAAAAAACAAAATATTTAGATGAGTGTTCACAGAAACATTGATGAGATAATATGGAATGAATATGAAATGAAATGGAAAGGTGACGATTAATCTGTATAAGGCTGAAATTGTTTCAAGTCGTCAGAGATTCATATCCTGAGTCAGGAGAATCAGAAGTAAATCGATGAACAAGTTCATCGGCAGATGGACGAATTGATGTATCAGCATTCCAACAGCATTGAGCAGTTCTAATGTAATTAGACATTTCAAGACTTGCTTGAGATTCACCAAATTTAGGTCTAACACCGCGACAGACCTAAAAACAAAAATGGAGGGAAAATAATCAGTGAAACGATTCATCGATATGTTAACAATAAGCTTTCAAAGCTTATTTTGTTATTTGTAAGCCAATTGATGACCTTAATATATTTATTTTAATCAATGTTTACGAACAAATTACCTTGAAAATAATGGCTTGTGAACTATCGCCGTAAAATGGAGTCTCCCTTGAAACCAATTGCCACATGATAATACCGAAGGAATAAATATCAGCCTTTTCTGTTGGTTTGGCACCTCTAAACAATTCTGGTGATGTGTAAGGTATTGTTCCAGGTGGTGGTTGTCCTCCACACCGAATCCGGCCACGATGGTCATGGCCTGGCTCTAAGTTTAACGAGCATCCGAAATCGACTAATTTACAAGTGTCATCCGAGGATATCATTATATTAGAAGGTTTAAGGTCAAGGTGAAGAATACGTTGATCATGACAGTAAGCTAGACCTGCTGATATTTGGTAGAGTATATAATTACGCCTTTCTCGGTCGATCACTTCGTTTGGGTCATTTATGCAGGTTTCCAATGACATTGATCCGGCAGCTTCCATGATAACCATTTGAAGACCAATCGATTTGAAAAGAGAAACGGAATTAAAATTGGACAGATAAGAGTCAGTGAAGAAGAGAGATAAATCATCTGGACGCAACTCAATTATCTCATGTGTTTTTACAATGTTTGGATGGCGGAGAGATAAACTGTTTCGTTCGCCGCGACAGGAGCACGGTGATGTTGGACATATCTTGATTGCAAAATCATTATTATCCAGTGAGGTCGAGAATACACGACCAAAAGCACCTCGACCAATTGTCACAGAAGCTAATTCAGCAGGTTGCAAATCTTTGAACAATTTACATAATACATTAAACATATTTGTATATTTAGACTCTGAACTGATAGAATTGACAAATTAAGAAATTATTACTTGGATTTTAATGAGTTATGTCCACATTGGTTAATAGTTTACTACTAAATTAACTTGATTCTTTAAAAAGTAAATCATCGGATATACACATCGCAATGCTTTAACATTCCCTCAAACATACATGTTTATTTTTAAATTATGATAGTTTTACTCAATTTTATGTAAATATTACCGTTCTTTTTTGATTCTTGTTATATTTTCTTATGGTTGCACCAACATTATGTCTTTTATCTGTGGTAATTTGTTGCGTTTGACCAGATTTCAAAGAGAGGTTTCAAGGTAAGATTAATTTCTAGATCAAAATATCAATTTGAACAAACACATGTCTAACATCATTTGTTTTATTTTGTTTATTATTATTTTGATAGATATTGTGTTGGCAAAAGGCTTACATCAAATGAATTAATTATCCCTAGATATTTATCAACTGGTTCCAATCAAGGTGATGATGACAAGAATCCAAAGGTTATTAAAGCAAAACTTGAGAAGGTAGCTAAAAAAATTGGTAATAAAATTGATGGTGAAGAAGGTAAAAAAACTAAAGAAGGATTAATGAAAATGGTCAGTTTACAATTTGAAGAAAGTAAAGTTCCTGATTCAAATGCAATGGCTAATATTGCAAATATTTTAAAGTAAGAATTATTATAAAGGTTTCTAAATTTTAGCTCTAATTCTAGTATCATTAATTTAATATTTCTGTTTTTTTCAAAAAATTAGGGATTTACCGGTTGAAGTATCTAAAAAGATGTCAAAGGGAATGACAACAAATAAAGACCAACAAAGATTTGCTGATAAACAAGAGAATAGATTTGCAGATCGAAAAGAAAATAGATTTGGTGATAAAGAAGGAAATAGATCGCGTAGTTGGAGAGATAGACCACCACAATTAGATTTTAGAAATAGAACTACAAATTTTGATAGAAAAGATGGACGGAATTATCAAGAAAGACCTCATCGACAACATGATTATGTGAATTATAATGCTGCAAAGCCTTTAAATCTTTTTGATAATAAATCACCAAATGGAGATTATTTTACATTAGAAACATGGAAAAGATTACGTGATGAAGAAATGGACTTAGAATTTCGAAAACCGCCAAAGAATGCTTTTGATGAAATGATTCAAATGACCAAAGAAGGTAAATTATGGAGTTATCCAATTGATAATGAAGCTGGATTGGAGGAAGAAGCAAAAGTACCTTTTTATGATCATATATTTCTTGATCATCTTCTTGAAGGAATACCAGAATCTGGTCCAGTTCGAGAGTTTATTGATATAATGATGATTGGTGTGACTAATAATGCATTTATAACTGTAGAAAGAAAACATGCAATTGTTAAATGGTATGTTGATTTTTTCAAAGAGAAAGAGCAAATTCTAAGGGAATGTGGTGCTCTTTAAAATATCAATATATCTCTGTATAATTTAAAATCTGTTGTATAGTCATAGAAGCTTTATTAAAATAATTGAACTTCAAAAATAAAATTGTATGTCATTTTTTTGCTTAATAAATTTCCAATGGTGGTTTTACCGTAAGTTATTCCTTAATCATTTTTGAATGTGGCTTCACGCACCCATTAGATATTGCCCATTAGCCGAATTCAATATTTATCCATGAATGATATTAATAACATAAAATATATTATATGAGCGAAGTACAAATGAATATAAATGGATAACATTTTATAATACGTATACCAAAGAAGTTTGTAGTCATTAATGTGATACCGTTAAATCGGTATTGTCTGAACTAGCCAACCTAAACATATCTTAAATACATGTCGTCAGGTTTTAATGCATTCTTATGTTATAATATTACAAAAGTTATTTTTGTTATCAGCAGTTACCAGTTTAATTTATCAATCCAACTTTTCCAAATTAGAAGTAGAAATGGTTTGTATCAATAATCAGGGACAGGGGCTGAGAGTACACCAACCAAATCTTGATATTTAACATAAGGTCCCATTGTATTGGCTTCTCTAAGAATGTGGTCGACCTCACGGGTTCCAAGTTTTTCACCCCATTGACAGAGGATGTGTTTCAAATCACGAACATGAATCTGACCTGTTCTATTGAGATCCCATCCTTGAAACGCTTCCAATATTTCTTCCGGCACTTTTTCCTTCTTTGAATGAGTATGCATTACATCAAGAAAATCAGCAAAAGACAATTTACCCCCTGAGAAACAGAAAACCAGACAAAAATAGTTATTAAATATGACCAGGTAAAGGCCTGAATTTCCTATTACATAAAGCAGGCAACTCATACAAAAAGTCTTCAGGAACTGATGAAAGTTGAATTTGATAATGAATGAGCAGAATCTAGAAAACAATTTTTTTCAAATTTTCTCAACCTAAATGGTATTATCACATATTTAGTGATTGAACAACAAAATTAAAAAGACTTACCCTTTTCTTTCAAATAAACTCGCATCTCAGGAATAGTTGGACTCATTCCAAGAGATCTCATGATCAAAGCAAGCTCATCAATGTTGACAATCATTCCATTGTTATGAGTGTTAAGGTAGAAGCAGTCACGAAATTCATCAATATCTTGTTCTTTAAAGTAACGAGCCTGAAATTAAAGGAATTAAGTAAACATTGAGTGAGTAAGACATTAAAAATTGATAAAATTATCTTGATTTCTAATAATTAAAAGAGATAACTCACCATAATTACGTTTCCCGTAAACAAAAAGTTACAAGTTAAAGTCAAAAACAGCTGACTGAGTAAGCCTCAAGCCACCTCTTGACTCATGAAAGAAAGCTAGAGACAAGTTTCTATCACAAGGTAATAACATCACTTTCTTCCTTGAATAAAGTTGCGTTTTTAGACTGGTGTCTATTTCATTTCGCGGACATTTATTAATATAATATTTATAAAAATTTATTATAATTCACTCAAAATTTATTGATAGAAACATAACTTTTGTAACACCTTGAGTTTAAATAAATAATGAAACAAAAACTTTGACTTTTCAATCTAAACTGCAACAAGAGACAAAAACTAAATGTCATTTAAAAAAGCCTGGTAAAGCTAAGCCAATAGTTAGTGCAATGATAGCCAAAGATGACAGGAAATTGACTGAAACAACACACAGACCAGCAAATGTGAATCCAACATCGTCTCGACTGATTCGTAATAGAAACAAATTTATCTAGAAATTGGAAACAAAAATGTTGAAAGGGTTTAAGTAATGGAAGGGTCAAAAGGTTTACCTCATTCATGGTTTCAATTGATCGCACCAAGTTTGGTGATAGTGAAAGATCATGAACTTTGTTGAATACTTGGATTGACAAGTAGTTTACTCGTGCAAAATGGTAACCACTGACACACAGCATACTCAGGGTTAAAACCGCTCTACCAGTTAAAGATAGTATTCGTATCGTGGTTTGATTGGGTGCTAACATTAAACCAATACCACAAATAGAGTAGATTGTCAAGAATCCGAAAGTGTTCAAAACATTCAATCTGAAAAAGTTATCAATGCTCCTAGTAAACTCGATTGTAAACTCGCATGTGACGGACTGATTTAATAGCATGATAAACATCAACTCCAGAAGACTCGTTAACTTTCTTTACTAGAGAATTGAAAAATAGGTGGAAAAAGACGAAATTTGATTGTAAATAGATACAAGTTTCATTGATAAATTGATGTTCCAAAATTAAACCCAATTCACGAATGTACGCAAATACAATTTCAACGTGGTTATATGGCAAACTAAAAGGGTTAAAATAATATTCCAAGGTTAATATGGTCACTCTCGTTAGAGACTGTAATATAATTATAAGTCGATTGATCTTCTGCCATTTTTCACATATGAAGTCTGTGCCAGGCCAAAAGGAGTCTTGATGCTGGATTGAAAGTAGTTGATGTACTTAACATAAATTGGACTGTTGTATTTGTAGAGCAATGTAGTTGCGACAAGACTTGTAGCAATGGAGGAATTAACGACCATTGTACATCTAGTGTATGTTAAAGTGCCAGCATCGATTCCAAGATGAGTGTTTTTTGTGGATATATGAATTTTGTAAAGTTTGACTGTAGCATAGAGTAGAAAGCTGATCGAAGTAAACAAATGCAGGACTTGACTCGATATGTTTTCACGTAAAAGGGATTTGGCAAAAATACTTGATGGTTTAGTTGATTTTTCAATGATTTTCATCAAATTATTGCAATCCATTTTAACACATTAAACAATCTGTAATTTTGTAATTAACTAGATGTATCGAAGAGAAACTAAACTGATTTTTATGTTTGGTATGTTTATTGATAGAGACTTATTCATCCATTTCAATGCATATTAAACTTTCATACTCAAGAATAATTAATAATAGCGATATTTATATCAGCATAAAGCGAAGTGTTACTTTAAAAATCAATCACTAAAAACATTATAAATACTTTCATTTCATTGTATGTTTAATTTTTAATTTTAAATGAAAATTGAGTTTTTAGGAAAAGCCTATGTAGCTGAAAAGTATCACAATTTTGTTGGCTGTTTACAGGCTGTTTGTTGAAGTGAAGAAAATCTTTCAAGTTTCATGATAGACATTGATATTTGTGATTCAGTAGTGAGTGATGATTTTGAATGTTGTTTAAAACAAAAATGTTTCAAATAAAGGCAGCACTTCTGGAGGTTTGAATAAAACAAAATGTTAGTCAGTTTATTGATGTTCAAGTATCTTTCAACAATCAAAACAATTATAACCAGAAGAAAATCATTCCCTGAAACTCTGAATTCAAGGCGAGGGAAATTATGGCAGAAATCATTCTACATTTAATTTTAATCAATCACTCCGACTAATAAAAATTGCTGACCCAAGTCTACCAATAATTGATTAAAACATGATTGAAACAAGATTAAACTATGATTTTTTTTATTTATTTGCACAATAATGAAGTAAAATCGTTTTAATTGTCAGTTTTTCTCATGGATAAGTCTGATCAATTATCATGATCTTTTTCAAAATGCTTTATAAAATTGGTGACAACACCAAAAGACGAATTACAATTGGTTATTGGACAATTGATTACAAAAAAATTGGGTGACAAATGATTTTCAACAGAATA